TGCTGCCATCACGGGGAGGACCGACATCCCACTACCCAGGCATCTGGGTCACGAGCGCTTATCTGCAGAATGACGGAAAGCTGACAAATATCTAAAAGAAAAAAAATTAATTAATAAAAAAAAGTCCTCCCCATCGACTAAAAATATCCCCACCGGACGAAAGACTCGGATGAGCGGTGAAGGATGACTTCGGAGCTCTGCCGTGATTATAGTTAAAAATATATTACCGGCTGTGTTTATGCTCGAGACAGAAATAGGGGAAGGGGTAACGGAGTCCTGTGGAGGCTCCTTTATCCCTTTCTGCGATATGACGTTTCGCTAAAGCAATTCTTTCGAAGCGTTGGCACGCACAATTCTAATTGAGGTATAGTTACGATAACTGTAAACAGGTTAGCCGTACAACATTAAGAAAGCCGTTAACCCAATTGTAAAAAAAAAAAAAAAAGACGAAACAAAGTAAGGACAAACTTACATCCAAGGTAGGAACTTGCATGTGTGCATGAGTTTTTAAAACAGTGCAGTACGTGGAAAATGTTAGATTCTTACCATGATATGCTAATTGGCTATTTTACCTACTCGGGAGCCAGATATAGAAGGGCGTGCAGAAAATGTATCTTTTAGGTTTTCGTGCTAGAAAATATTAGAACACGATAATATTCGGGCTAAAAAGATAACAGCAGTAAGTGATCACCCCACAACAATGAAGGCTGCAAGTTTTAACCAATGCACAATTGAGTGCACGTTCGGCTCTAGGTAATCTTCGAGCACCAACTCATACTCTACTACGTAATTTGAAGGCTCTAATCATCCTGCATGATATCATGTTGAATAATAAGACACCACGACACTCATGTAAATTTTCTGACTCTGAGGTCGACTCGCTAAACATGCGGTGTTACAAAAAAACAACAACAACAACAAAAAAGGTATTTATTATTACGTGATCGGTATAAAAGCGTGTGCTTCAGTGTGCGGTGTGAAACAGTTTGAGGTTGTGCTATCTGTTTTAGAAAAAGTAAAACTCTCGATCCCCTCACCTAATATTTCGTTACAGACAACATGTGAGTCATCGTTAATTGTTAAACATGAACGTGCTCCAGGATGAATGGTTGGAATACACATTTATTGCCTGAAGCTTGCGGTCGCTCTTAGGTGTGCCAGGCGCGCCAGAGTAAATTTTATCTGCAAATATTAAATTCACTGGAAACTAGGTAAATAGGCTATGGATCCATATGTTTAGAATCGGGGTTTCGAGACCGTTTTCACCATTAAATGACGACTTGCTTTTCAGCTCAGTCCAACTAAGTTCTACCTTACAAACCCAGCCATTTCTAAATTGCCCCTGAAAAAAAAAAAAAAAGTTCTTTTTAAACATTTTTTTTAAACAGTCTGGTTGGGACACGCGTGTCAAAACGTAATTTTACCTCCCCCCCCCCCCCAAAAAAAAACAACAAAAAAACAAAAAAAAAACGAGCAATATTGACGGCGCGAGACGCGATTTAGTCAATAGTCACCTCATTTCCACTTGTTTCCACTCTCGGCATTTCGGGCGCTTGGAGGAGAGGTGGATCGACTTCGGCTTCGCGTTGAGGTGGAAAGAGCGAATGCCGATTCTGTGACGTCATAGACTTTGCACTCAGAATTTCAAATAAATCTCTCGCCGTCATAATAGCTCTAAATTTTTTTTTTTTGCGTAATATTTATTTTTGACACGCGTGTCCCAAGCAGAGTGTTAAAATTTTTTTTCAGGGGCTTTTTAAGAAATAAAATAAGTAAAATCAAGCTACTACGCTCTAAAAAAGCCCATGTGTCTACTTCCCCGCACAACACTCGGCGAGCCAATCACCGCCACTTACGGAGGCAGCTCGGCGAAAGACGATGCCGAAACATATGTTTATGCCAAAAAAACGCAGTCTGAGTTGTGACATTAAGCAATGCAAGCGTGACGTTTTGCATTGCTTAATGTCACAACTCAGACTGCGTTTTTTGGTCTAAACAGGTGTTTCGGCATTGTCATTCGCTGAGCTGCCTCCGTAAGTGACGGTGATTGGCTCGCCGAGTGGTGTGCGGGAAAGTAGACTCACGGGCTGTATTAAAAGTCCGGACACCTCGTCCGTGCTTAGTTTTGCCAAACGACTACCCAATTATATTTCGGGTACCTTTTCAAGCCTTGTCTCCTTCCACTTGCAATTTATATTTTCAGCAATTCTTTCTCGATTTCGTTTTGTAGCGGTATTTTTTTTTTCGAATACAATAACGATAAAAATGATGTGACGATTCGCTGAAGCGTCTGGAAGGTGCTGATTTGTAATTACTCTACAAGTTCATTAGGTAGCCACCCCACGGAAAACATAAACATCAAACTAGGAGGCTAACACGATTTAGCCATTGCCTTCTCAACAACAACACAAACACGACGAGTTCGTTAATGGTTTAATGAGTTGTTGCGGCTTTCGGCCGTAATTAATAACGAGAGGACGGCCCCCTCCGAACGACGGCCCGAGGAAAAAAAAAAACGTACTTTAGACTCCGGGTGACGAACGCGCTGCAGCGTAGGCCAATTGCTGGAACCCGACGGCTGATTCCGACCCCGCGGAGTGCACTCGGCTCGTCTAATTGCTCCAAATGGTTAGGGGCGTGGAGCATAATTAAGAAACCGCGCAGTTCCGTTCGTCCTCTAAGGCGCGGGTCACGTCTCAACACGAAGAAACCGCTTGATGAGAGCGCGCACTTGGCAACAATTATAGGGCCGAGCGGTGCCCGTGTCACTCCGACTTGGGTTGCTACATCGTGCGAGCAACGCCCGCAGAAAAACGGCAACTCCGAGCTCCGCAAGTCTTACAGCGGTGCCAGAGAATTCCGCTCACGCTAACCGGTGTGTAGTAACTAACTCTCGGACTGGCAAGTATAACCCGACCGATTACCGGGAACGCCTGACTCGGCACCACGGAGCGCGCTCGAAGCGAGCTGCCTACCGAGTTATGCTTCCCGAAAGCGTTCCACGCGGAGGGTGGGTGCATATTTACACGGCGTCGACCAGAGCGCCCAGGTAACTCTTCCGCGAGCCCCGGTTTATCTTTTCTTATATTTTTTTTTTTCCACGGGTCGTCTAAGAAACGAATTTAGCCATGATCACCCAGCGGGCCCCCCCAAAATAGCCGGCTGCTTTCGGCCGCCATCTCTAGGCTCCCACCAAACTCGCCGTCTTCGTGATAAGAACACGCGCAGCACGCCAGAGAGAAAAGAAGGGCAGAAAAGAGTCGAGCTTGCCATATAACGGATTCTTTCGCTGAGGCGGTTGCGCGCGCCCCGGGTCGAGAGACCTGCCTCGCAGACAGAGCCCCGGAGCGCAAGGTCCGCGATCCAGCGAGTAATGAACGGCCACGAGCTTCGCTTCTAAACACACTAGACATTCATGTGTGTGTGTTTTTCGGGGGAGCACCGGAATAGCAAGCGAAGAGCTCGGGCTCCTTTGGAAACCTTTCGGTGGCGCTGTCTGCGTACCGTCCGAGTTTACACGCGCGAGAGCAAATAAACGATTCCTGCGCGCTTAACAAAGCCTTCTGCGAAGTTGGTTTTTTTTTTTCTCTTTCTCTTTTAGTCGTACTAATTTTTTTTTGTTCTTTTTTTCCCGGGCTTTTTGGAAGGGGGTCAGTTTTCGCTCTGCTCAGTGTACTCAGTCGAAAAACGACACGAAGACCACTGGAAGCTTACTTTATCGTCTCAATTATTAAGCGGGGAAGACCCCCTATTCAGACTTCCTGAGTGGCGGGAAATAAGAAAACGTGTCACTCGAGACTTTTGTCCCCGTTCTTTTGTCATCCGACTCCATCGTACACTGTCCGTGCTTACAGATACACTTACCGTGCGCAAATGTAATTTCGACGGTCGCATTCAAGCGGCGCCAGCAACGTGCATATGCGAGCGAATGCCGGTGGAATGTTAGTCTCAGCTAACCTCGGAGCATTAAATGCCGGAAATCTCCGCGGAGCTGCTCGTCTGTGGTGTGCACTTTCGCGGTCACCGCATTCCCTTCGCATGCAGATATGAGACCCTTGCTATGGTGCACCAGATAAGATTTTACTCGTTGTTGTACGTTCAGCGCTCTGCAAAGATAAGCTGTCGCTCTTAATCTCCGGTTAAGTCTGACTACGGCGGTTCAGAACGCAATGGTCGCGGGTTGCGGTCGCCACGTCGATATCAAGGTAAACGCCGGTTTCCATTCCGACCCGCTCATTTCATGCTTGTTTGGATAAATACCTTAGAAATGCCGCGCGAGCGAAGTGGAGGGTGCGAATATACCGGTAAATAAGAAAATGGATTTATATATCTTACCGTATGCAACTTGAAACTGATTGTGCCTACGCGCAGTCTGCTTCTAAGGCAGTTATGTTTTATTTCACATTGAGGGAAGGAAGCTTGCGGTCCTGCGAGTAGTATTTATTATTTTTACTGATGTCAGTCCGTGCGGAAAGCTGCCGAACCTCTTTAGTATTACTATTAAATCTGCCAGAAGCGGGTTGGATGTGCCAACGGAGCATTTACATTTATCTAGACCGGTATTACCGCAACAAAGACTATACGACAACTTTAGACGTATAGACATTGGCGCCTATCTGGCAAGGGCTGCCATCCCGTTGGTGGAAGTCTTATTTCCCATATATACTATAGCGAAAATCATAGTTTTTTTTATACTTCTCGCCTACTCGGTTTTGAACTCATTATATATATATATTTTTTTTGTTTACCGTAAATACTACCAATCTTTGAGGGTTATTGCAGAACGTTATACAATAACGTATTATGAGCAAATGACACAAGAATTTTAGCCAAGTGCTCATGACGGAAGACGCTCTTTAATAAACTCTTGCGTCGCACAAACTTCGCAACGTAATTGCGCTTCCACTGATGCTGGCGCATGCTGATTGCACGATGCCATCAAAAAGGCGTCTCGGGCTACTTGACAGGCCGCACATGGCGACCTCTTTTGTTTTTGCCAGAGCTCCCAGTCGAGGAAGGATGGCGAGTCACGGGCGACGTCACATGCACGATCCCAACTCGGAGGCGTACAAAGCCTACATGGCCGCCACCCTGGAGCGCATGCGCAGAGAGTACGAGCGCCGCCGGCGTGAGGAGGCCGAGCGCAACGCCCGAGCACGAGGTAAGCGGCTGCTCATTGAACCACTCAAATGTTACTTAAAGCACCTTTCATTTAAGAGCCATATATCGAAAGAGAGAGAAGAGCAGGTCATAAAAGAGCGAAGATGTCAACTGTAGGCACAACTAATACATTCGGGAAGAGTCAATAAAACCTCGCTTTAGTGACTCCTTCGAGACAAAAAAAAAAAAGAAAAAAAAAAAACTAACGTGTTTTTTTTTTCGAAGTGCACTGTCTTTAGAACCAGCCAATCGATTTCGTCCATTTCTATTTCATTTAAATAAGCACAAGAAATACAAGAGATTTTTGGGAAACAAATAATAAATTATTGATTTCTGAAATAAAAAAATCGCCTTTTACTAAAAGTAAAGCTTTAGACAACAAAATTCTTTCTTACAAGAGAAGCTGGATTTAAACTTTTCATCCATTTCAAGTTTAGAAAAAAAAGTATAGTTCTTTTATTTTTTATATCAAGTCACGTGACTTTTAAAGGGGTAGTGAAACGAAATTTTAGCGCCGATCTTGTTGCATAAATATGGGCTAGGGACAGGCACCACCTCGGAAATATAAATATTGCGCTGTAAAACACAGGAGAACTAATTTTAAACATAATTAAACGATTTCAAATTCTCATCTGGTGGATGGGGGGAAGTTCTCGTGACATCACTTGTGCCAAAATAGCAGCGCCGTTCTGCGGCAATACGGCGTGCCGGCAGAATTCGCCTAGGCCTGAACGCATTTGCAAAGCCTTGGCGGAGAAAGCCAAAGCGTAGTTGGCCACAGTGAGCTCGTTCTCGTTGCGGCTCTTTGCACGACACGACCCGAGCATGCTTCTGACACGGCCGGTATTAGTTGCTGCGAGTCGCGAGCTGCGAGCCGACGTTAAAAAGGATATGTTTGAACTACGAGGGTGTCAGCAAGAGCCACGCAAATACCTGCTCACACTCGGAGCGGACACGCGCGTTTGATCGAAGTGCTGGATTCGCTCTGTTAGACCGCGTTTCGGTAAGCTTTCTGGACCGATCTTTTACGATTGCAACTCGATACTGACATGACACTCGGCAAAGAAAGGTTAGACCGACATCGCGTAGCTCCCACGAACTCAGAATAAAAATGGCATACTAATAACAGAGTGTACATACCGAGTTGCGAAGGTAATCCGTATGGCGTTTATTTGAGCTCTATATCACACAAAACAAAAAGATAGAATCAATGAAAGTCCCTTTTCGACGACAGCGTTCGTCACCGCTGTCTCGGAAAACAAGGAGATCGAGATGACAAGGGGAAAATATTGACCTCTGAAATTTAGTTCAGGGATCAAACTACTCATCCGGTAAGGGTCCACAAGGGTCGCGCGGGCATATTCCATTCAGCACGCCAGCCGGTCATGGACAGAGGGTCTTGGCCAAGGACCGCCGGAGCAACGGTGCGCCGAGTCGATGTTGCTGCTAGGCCTACTATATTCTGCCGAGCTCGCTCGGTCGGCAGAATCGTGGCCGTCGTAGCTCTTCTCGTGTGTTTGTGGATCCTGCGTTCTTGATCGTCGTGGTCTGTTTTAAGTACTCCTTCCTTTTTTCTTGCTGGTTGAAGTCGGGACGCACGAGAAGAGCACGTAGAAAAATAAATGTCCGTTGGTGGCCGATACCAAGTAACTGAGCGACGCTGTCGGCCTTGTTGATTTGATCGTAAAAAGTGCGTAAGACAGCTTCGGAGCTGTCGTAGGATTCTGTCGTAACCTGCGCAAAGGTTACGACAATTTCGTTTCGAGAGTACGGGTTTTCTCTCAAATTTGTCGTACGCACTTTTTTCGTCGTGAGTTCGCTTTGAGAATCCGGCTTCAGAGCTGGTTTTGTCAGTGCTGCCGTGGTTGCCGACTTGCCGTGGTGCAGCGTGCGTGCAGCCCTTGCACATCTCAAACGGCCACGTTGTCACAGGTCGTAAATCGTCGACGCGCCACCAAGTGGCAACGCTCGTAACCAGAACATTCACGCCGTAGCCTTTCCCGTCTGGCACAAGTGACGTCACGAATGCGCCCAATATCCCAAGAAGCATCGCGCTCTCCGATGGCCGATTTTTGAGCGCGCGCCCAATCGGGCCCATTAGGGTGAAAAATATAGCCATCCGTTCAAAATACAAACGCGGGATTATGATTTATGAATATCATTGATCATATTGAACCTATTTCTGACCATAATAGGTGTATTTCAAGTTTCGCTTCAGTATCCCTTTAATTAACCATTGGAGAACGCACTGGAAACCGGCAGCTCAAATACCCTCTTACACCTAAACACGACAATCCTTTCTCGCTCTTAGGATAGTGGAAAGTTCAAAGATTGCTCTGTCGACAAACAATTAAACCTTAGCCCTCACGGACCGGTGCAGGTACCAAGGCAATTGAAGTGGACACTATCGAGGCGTACCCCAAGGAGAATGCCAAGCACCACCACACTGAGATGTTTGATGTGTTCGAGTCTGGAGAGCCTCCACTTGTGTTGCGAAGAGGCCAGTCTTTCTTCATGGCAATCCGCTTCAAGCGTGACTACAACCCGATGACGGATGAAGTCTACATCGACTTCAGCATCGGTGAGACAAATGGAATTTCGTCAAGCATAGCCTATGCTTTAGGCTAATGGGTGGCGTGTCAACCTGCCGACGCACGTATAGGTCTTTTAGGAAAAAAAAAAGTTACGTGATAACATACATTATGAGTTCTCGTAATGCCAGATGAGTAACAATGAAAAGCCTTAAGGAGGCGTCTTCTAACTTTTTAAGCTACTGCGGTGGCGTTATCGACTGTTCTGAAAACAGTTTCCGAAATTATCTAGTGATGATTCTTCATTTGGACTCCTGAAGACTCAATTTTCGGCAGATTGATTAAACTTTTTGTCACTTTGCTTGCTCTTTACTTCGTTTCTGTTCTTCGTTACTTCATTAATTCTTCGGTAATCATCAAATGCACGCATGCCACAGGTGGCTACTGAAGCAACACTCTGCATCTGATTAATGGCCGTCTTTCGCACATCAAAGTGACCTCGCAGCGATGAAGAAGCCTTAAAATTAGCGCTTATCTGAAACTCCTTGCAGTTCAAACCTATTCTGCGGTACCGTACTCCGGAACGCACCACTGAAATCTCTTCCTGTTGCAGGCCCGAACCCCGAACTCAGCAAGGGTACCTTCATGAGTCTTCGCGTCCCTGCACAGAAGGGCGAGTTCCGCCTCGCACCCGCCAGCTGGGAAGTCCGGGTGACGCACCACGACCGCGCCGTACTCTCGATCCAGGTGTTCGTACCTGCCGGTGTAAGCGTCGGAAGCTGGAAGTTGTCTGTGCTGGGACGAAGCAAGAACGATCCTGAAGCCAAGTCCAAGTTTCGCCTCGACAAGGACGTCTACATTCTCTTCAACCCTTGGTGCAAAGGTAAAGCGTCTGGCCACTGTGGCCGATGATCTTGGGGACACGGGCGTAGCATTCAAAACTAGTCGATAGGCTGACAACAGTAGAAGACCGCTAGGGAGGCTTTAATTCCTAGAGGTCCCGCAGAAACATCGACCGATATGCAGCTATCTCACAGACCTCAAACAAATTTGCAAGAACACACAATAATGCGACGATTGCTTCCTAGAGGACCTTGTCTACATGGAGAACGAAGACTGGCGTCGGGAATACGTCCTCGATGACGTGGGCAAGATCTACATGGGCTCCTGGAAGCAGCCACAGGGTCGACGATGGATTTTTGGACAGGTTTGTTTCTCCTAACCGGTCTCGTAAGCTCGTGGACAGGCTTAAACGAATGCGCAGGTGAATAGTTATGAACACGAAGAGACAAAACGTTTACTCGAAGCTTCGGCACATCTTTTCCAAATCTCACTGGATGGTTCCTAACACAATCTATTTCACGCATTGTTTATATAAAATATAATAAGTCGAATGAATAAGCACGTTTGAAACATTTGAATGGAAATGATGTCGAATTCTAATAATTATTTGTGGAGTCGACCAGGACCAATCTGTAATACGGAAACATTTCCTTCGCACATCTCGCCAAGTTAATTGAAATTAAACGTCAGATTGCGCCTCCCGTTGTAGACTGACATACAGTCTTAGCGAATACGCGAATACGATTACTGGGCATGCATGCGACTTCTACCTTGTGAGCCTTGCTCTCTAAGTGTAACTGCTGGTACGGGATTTCCGACTATATCGGAACTGCATAGTCAGGGACCATGTTAGCAAAACATGCGTTTTAAGCTCCTCTGCTTCGTCCACAGTTCGGCGAGTTGGTGCTTCCGGCGTGCACACTTCTTCTGGAGAAGTCCAAGCTTACCTACGCCGCCAGGGCGAACCCAGTGAAAGTGGTGCGAGCCATTTCTGCAATGGTAAGATCCCTATACTCTAACGCTTCTATCCTTGACAGAACGCACTGCTCCCGAGACAAGAAACAGGTTGACTTCGGATGAACAGATGTTCAGCCCAACTCAGCCTGCAAAGTAAAAAATAAGTTCAAAACCAAGCGGGGCGCTAACTACAAAATAATGCAGAGTTTAAAAATGTAGAGAGAAGGAATAGAATACAAACTTCGGCGACCCAAAAATAGGCAAGGTCGCTGAGCAAAACGATAAGAACTACTGAGGTACCTACTAAGTTCTTTTATTAAAGAATGGTGATTTTGCACCTTTATGATATCATCAAAACGATGAAATGGTTGTCCAGGTTAACAGTGCAGATGATGACGGACTCATCACCGGAAACTGGTCGGGCAACTATGACGACGGAACCGCACCATGGATGTGGACCGGAAGCAGCGCCATCTTGGAGCAGTACGTCAAGACCGCAGGGGAGTCCGTAAAGTACGGACAATGCTGGGTCTTCGCCGGAGTCTGCAACACAGGTGCGTTGAAAAATGCTGAATGCTTAATGTCACACTCTCAGACGAAAAAAAAAAAAAAGAAAAAAAAAAAGAAAACCAAATTGACCAACAAGAAACGCCTTTTCTGAGTTCGTTTGTCTCGAATTATACGAGACACAAAGTTCCCTTACAAAATTATGCGCCTATACATCCTAAATCCTCTTCAGAGTTTCTTGGTTCTCTTACCTCATTTTTATTCATGCTTCTTTCCTTTGAATAAAACAGTGCCTCTCCATTTGGGAGCAGTAAAAAGCGCGCTTCGTCTGTCTCGAAACAAAGCTCTTTCTGGTGTCTTCGAAGGGAGCCCACTCAAGATTCAAACTTTTCAGCCACTGAGAAACAAATGAAATGACTTCGACTAAACTAATGACACGGTACATTGAGGCAATCTTTACCTTGCCTTGGCTTTCACAATTCCTTCTCTTTCAAGCAAGAGTGAATTTTTTTGTTTTTCTCTTTGATTCGCGCAGTCTGCAGGGCCCTGGGTATTCCGTCGCGCCCAGTGACGTGCTACGCATCGGCGCACGACACAGACGAGAGCATCACGATCGATCGTTACTTCGACAAGGAGGGCGAAGAACTCAAGAAGTACTCCAGAGACTCCATATGGTTAGTGTTCACGAAACAGAGAATCCACGTGTATGCCATCACATTGAAAGGGATTACTGGGCCCACATATTTCCGCTGAAGAAAACACACACATACACACACGCACGCACGCACACATACACACACACGCACGCACGCACGCACGCACGCACACGCACGCACGCACGCGCACACGCACACGCACACACGCACACACGCACACACCCACACACCCGCACAAGAAAACGGCAGGACTCGCGACAGACATCTTTCAACTCGGAAGGATGTCTAGTTCGTTTAGTCAAGAGCGTTTATTTTATGTCTCCCTTTGAATGCTTTCCCTCGCATTCCTTGAAAATCTTGTCCGAATTCTACTGACTGAAAAAAAAAATGCGATTTCTACATTGATGAAGTACGGTGCTCTCATCCGTCAGGAATTTCCACGTCTGGAACGAGGTCTGGATGGCTCGGAGAGATCTCCCGCCGGGATACGGCGGATGGCAGGCTATTGACGCTACCCCACAAGAAACGAGTGATGGTAAGTGGCGCTTTATACAGCTGCCAATCCGTAAACGCTATGAAGAAGGCTTTCATACTTAACTCTGGATTTCTTCGGTACGGTCAGGATTCTACCAGGTTGGCCCCTGCTCCGTTGCTGCCGTGAAAAGGGGAGAAATCGGCTACATGTACGACTCGCCCTTCGTGTTCGCCGAGGTGAATGCCGACATCGTCCACTGGAAGGAGGACCCCAGCAGCACCTTTGGATGGGAGAGAAGCAAGACCCTTACTTATCAGTACGTTGGACAAATATCGCGATGTCTTCGTGGTGGGGTCAACGACCTAATTTGTGGCATGTGCTGATTGGAAATGAATAGAAAGCCAAAAAAAGTATCAATTTATTCATGTCCACCAGGGCGATTTTCTCGTAGCAGACACCACTCTACAATCAGGTTGTAAATAATCCATCTTTTTATAATGAACCCGGGTTGAACGGTAAAAAAAAAAAAAAAATGAACAGACCTTTATCGCGTTTATAACTGAGAGCTTGCGCTGCGAGCGTTACTTAAAAGACCCTTATGTATATTTCAAACCCATAGTGTAGCCGAGATAATTCTAAGTTTTATCCTTGAGAAAGCAAATTGAAGAGAGTATGGTGTGCTTTAGTTAGCATTCGCGAAGATCTGGACTCGTATTGCTTTTATTTGGCTGGGGTCTACGCTTCTATCTCTCAGCCTCTAATATTTTTTTCCTTTTCTAATTTTTTTTAGAAGTTTAGCATTGTTTTTTTTTTGTGTGTGTGTGCGTTTCGAATGTACTAATAAACATAAATTTTCCAGCATCGGACTTGGTGTACTAACGAAGAAGGCAAACATGTCCGTCCAAGAAGGCATGGAGGACGCCGAAGACATCACAGCCTCCTACAAGTGCAAAGAAGGTGCGTGGTGTTGTCGAACGTATAATCGGGGACCTTTATGAAAACGAAACACGGCTGTGTAGTTTCTGATTTTTACCATTAAGATGTCAGAAAGTATGCAGTCAAAACGTTGTGAACCCTGTGGATTCCCTGCTAGGCACAACCTTTTGCATTCACGAAAAGTCGTTGCATCACTCGCACTTTTAAGAGCGATATGTGTGATTAATTACAACTTTCCGCACGTGATAAAATCAATAGCAATTTGGCGCATGTTCTTAAACTACGGGCTGTGCATCTGCAGTCCCGTGACCCGCTGTTAGCAGTGTCATTATTCATAGCATCAAAAGACGGATGTTCGTGTGATAGAGCCCTAGGTTCGTTTTCTAGCTGAACAAAGATCATACGAGTCTCCTCGTCTCACCCCCGCGTCACTACGCCCTTTTCGAGTAAAGAGAACGGCGAATTTCCGCCATTCTATGCGTGCCTCAAACAAGACGCGATTCCCGCTCAGGTTCCGATGAAGAGCGCATGGCGGTGCTGAACGCGGCTCGCAGCGGAGGCCTGTCGATTCTATTCGACCTGCCGAGTGCCCGGAACGAGGACGTGACCCTGAAACTGCAAGACATCGAGAGCGTGATGATCGGCCAGCCATTCAGCGTCACCGTGAGCATGCGCAACGAAAGCAACGAACAGCGCACCGTCAGCGCAGTCCTGTCCGCCTCGTCCGTTTACTACACGGGCATCATTGCGCGCAAGATCAAGCGAGACAAAGCCACGTTCGTGCTCCAGCCACAAGATGGTTCGTTGTTCTTCGTACCCTTTAGTTTTTTTCCGGGACCCACAGGGAGCCTCGGGCCACTAAAGTAAGCGACGCGGCAGAGAAACGACACTCCAGCCATCTTGGTGCGCAAAACCGTGGTTGCCAGACGTCTGAAGCTTTATATGACATCGCAGGAAACGTTCTTCCGTCCTCCACTAATATTAAAACAGCCCGGGACGGAACAAATCGATATCGACTGAGCTTCCTGAGAGCGTATCTGAAGCTCGGGAAGTCGCATTTTCAAGTCGTAACTATCTCCGATTCCGCCCACTCTGCACTAATCACCGATATGGCGGCGCCCACAAGGGAATCCGGGAATGGAGTGCCGATACTCTAACTTATTCAGAGGCTCCATGGGTATCTTTCTGGTCCCTTTATTTTGGATACAAAGTTCCTCCGATTCTCTGCCGAGTCAGATTCTATAGTAATCACGTAGCCAGGTGAGGAGGGCCGGGAGTCTTTATATATAGCCAGGCTTTGCCAATGTCAACCGAGGGCAGAATCTCGCGTGAAGATCACGGAGACCTATAGCTGTGCCCATGAAAGGAGACCTTCCGCGTGGGGAATGTTTTCTTTTTTCCATTTTAATAGGGGGCACACGCAAATACTATATAAATTAATGGTCAAACCACGACCTTTATAGCTCAGCTGGCCAGAAACACATCGGTTCCGTCGCCTTTAACATGTTGGCATACTGCCGCGCTGTGGATGAGTGCAAGCCAACACGAGGAAACTGCCCTTCGGAGGGATATCGATTTGTTTTTTAACGTTGTCCAAATACCACTATGCTATAGATAACAGCATACGGACCACTTTGTATATTTTGTTCACGAGATTCCGGATTTGTTTATTCTTAAACTTACCAGGACAACATTTTATGTTCTTCGTTGCAGAGGAGGTACTCTCGTTGACGGTGGAACCCAGGGAGTACTTGCACAAGCTGGTGGACTTTGCGATGGTCAAGATCTACGTGATCGCCAATGTGAAGGAAACGCGGCAGACCTGGTCCGAAGAAGACGATTTCACCGTGACCAAGCCTCGTCTGAGCATCGAGGTAAGCCGTCAATTCGCAGCCTGACGCCGGCCCCGATTTCCCCTGAGTTCGTCCTCTCTGGCCCGAGGATTCAACTAAAGAAAAAAAACCAGCAAATTACGCGCAATACGTGATTACGTTGGGGACGCCACAATTGTGTCGATAGGGTTTCTGGATGGAATTGGAAAGGGGAAAAAAAAAACAAAAAAAAAAACATGGTGAGCATTTCAGAAGACAAAAACTGAAGTGGAAATGCGAGAAATTAGTTTTTTTGACTATACATATGTATTTATTTGCATCCGAATTGAGAGTTAATTACTAAAGCACGTCAACGGCATTACTGGTACTATTCAGAATTTCAGGTACGGTCAGGTATAAAGGTACAACGTATTACCTGATATATATATATAAAACTGAGAAGAAAAAAACCCTTAGTGAAAACAGCAACAACGGACGATTTAATCTTCGACGTCTCGGCCGGAGTCCGGCCTTCGTCAGGAAGAACTTTTACAGATGAAACGTCCGTTGTTGCTGTTTTCACTAAGGTTTTTTTTCTTCTCAGTTTTATACCCACGCCTTCGGCCTCCCGCCACCATGCCCGTTATATATATATATATATATGTATATATATATATATATATATATATATATATATATATATATATATATATATATATATATATACAGGGTGTTTTTTTAAGCTTAACATATTTGTTTAAAAAAGCCGTGAAAGTTACACTTATGCCGCTTGTGGAGGTGCGTTATACGGCCAGGGGGACATATTATAGGGGCATAATCGTAACAATCAGTCGACTAATTAACTAAAATTCGTTAATTAACTTTTTAATTAATGAAAATAGTCATATGGTTCCAATTAGAAACTTGCTCAGCGTCATCGAAAACTACTAAATCAGTCATTTTCAGAAAGACTTTGAGCACGTGAGAAGCGTAGTAGTGCACTAAAGTTACCACTCGTGGTGCAGGTACAAAGCTAGCGGTTGCGATAAGGCGCCCGCGCGATTTTTCCGTCTTTTATTTAGCCCCAGCCTTATATATATATACTATATATATATATATATATATATATATATATATAGTAATAGTAAGTATAATAATAGTAATAGCATATATAGTGATATATATAGTAATACTATATATAGTAAGAACCATATATATATATATATAAACTGTCGGCAACCAGCTGGCGTTAATTTACTGCGCCGTTTAGAGCTTTCTTCTTTCTTTTTTTTTTGCGAAGCGCAGATGATTGGCACAGCCACGTTAATTATTGCTTCATATTTTGCCTCTAAGAGTTTCCTATATACGTATATGCAAAGGTAAAAAAAAAAAAAAAAACTCACTTCAAGGAGCTAACCATAGCATAATTCGGGTGTCCCATATGGCAGTACAGTGGTGTCCCGAGTACAAATTTATTACGTCTGCTCGCGAAACACTTATTACGCTAAAAACATTTGTAAAAAAAAAAATCAGAATACAAAAAGAATTGTACCCAGTTGATGTCCTGAGCGGTCGGAAACTGCCGCGTGGTCGTCGCGTTTGGAGGCTGGAAGTTGTCTGATTTGAGATCGCCCGTCCACTCGCAGATCGACGGAAACACGAAGGTCGGTCAACCCTTCCGAGCTACCATGCGGTTCCAGAATCCCTTGGACGTAGAGCTGCAGGACTGCACCCTCTCTGTGGAAGGTCCCGGGATTACCAGCGCTCACGTTGTGCACCTCCCGTAAGTCAGCCACCGAACACCTGCTCCGGCCACCGACAACTCAAGAAAGCCAGGGCGTGGCGAGTCCCATGCATCTCATTATCGCCCCACAGCCAATGAGAGTGCGGCATTAGCCGATAAGAACGCCGAACAACCAATCACGGAGCAGGAAGCGTGAATTAACAGGATAATAAGCCACGCCCTACGTTGCTTAAGCTGTCGGTGACTGTATAGTATTTAACCTCCTGGACGCAAAACGGCGTGCCCGAGATAAGAAATGGAAAATAATTTTATTCGGCGAGAGTGTTATCCAATGAAGCCAATGCACCCAAATTAACGCGAGTTGCGTCGAGTAAAGGGGTGCGCACTGCGAGCACGCGTATTTTCCATTCCTTTAATCACTTGGTTTTATGTTACTTAAGGCATCTTGGCGGATTATGAATTTACCGACACCTAAAATAACGCAGCCTAAAGAGTCAAAACCATTGTTAACGGTTTTCTATTCACTAGACCCGTTGCCGTTATTAGATAAGATAGCGTATTCGTGTCCCTAGAACGCAATAAACCGATAACGGATACGAAGCTTTAATTTTGTTTTTGTCCGTAAATGTGCATAAAGGCACTATGATATCATCAACCTCGCCGAGAACAATATTGGTGAATTTGATGATGGCAGTAGGTATAGCACCGGGAACAGTCCAAACGCAGCCTTCTTTCTCGAAGAAATAGAGGTGCTTCGAGCGCTAGCTGCAAAATTTGGCGCTACCTTTAATCGAGCAGCGTAGACGAGTAGGCATGTTTTACGCCGAATAAAGACCGCGCGCAAATGTTTGTCTACACTTGCGCGCAACGAAAGCTTACTCAATCTGTCGGCAGCAGGAGCGGCGGAGAAGCAATATACACGGAGCTTTTCTGGTGGCAGTTCGCTGGAAACGAAGGATTGCGCGCTGACCCAACCCTCACTTACTCGGCCGGTCTCGTTTCCAGCGAGCTATTTCGACAGCGCTATTAGTGGGAACACTCAAGCTGTCCCGGCTTTCGTTCCTCCGAGTATATAGTTCGCGTTCGCTATTGTACATTTCCGAGGGAAAAGAGGTCAGCGCAATGGCGGGGTAACTTTGGATAATACGCCTTTCTCTCAAGAACCTTTCAAACACGTTTTGATTAAAGGAAGTTAAAGGATAGGCGAACCATACGCACGGCACATAGAACACAGCAGTGGCAGCGACCTGATTTCTGGTAGGTGAACTGCCTTTCTGTGTAACGCCCGTGTGACAGGGGTGACATTTGAGCTGTACTGCCTTAATGACAAGAACCATATTTACCTAATCCCCGACAAAAGAACAGACGTTGCCATAGGCCCTCATTGAATCGCTGTTTTCTATCATTTCCAGCTTAACGGCGTGGCAAATTGTGACGGAGGTCGTCACTTCCCTCCTGATCGTTTTCGTCGGGCAATACTGCGATCATATAGTGAGAATTATGACTCTGAAGCTAAATAGAATCGCCTAGCATCAAAATGGTAGCCAACATTTGGCTAAGAAACTTACATTTTTATAAGTCCCAAAGTATAAACTGCGCCGTGAGACCGGCTTCGAGACGATCGCCTACCGGTGTCTCACGTTTCTTGCTTGTCATCGTCCGACAGAAACGTCCCAGCCCATGGGGAATGGGTGCACCGAGAGACCCTGGTTCCAAAGCGAGCGGGGTCCCGGAACGTCGTGGCCATCTTCAACTGCCGCGAGCTGTTCGACGTCGAGGGATCCGTCGAGACCGTGGTGCAGGAGTGAGACAGCCACCGCTGCGCCGCGCCGTGTTCAGGAACAACTCTAACTTATATATCGCCCTTCGGCAGCAACGCAACTTGGCAGGTTACGAATTTCGCGACGCTTTTGCAAGCTCATCGATGGACTCTGTACCAAACATAATAAATCTCCGTGTCGTTCGTTACAAAACGTTGGATGTGATGTATTTTTTTTTTCTTTCTTCTTTTTACTGCTGCACCCGGAGGATGGCAGAAAGTTGACTTTGGCGAATTAAAGCAATGCTGAATGCTCACTAGACCGGTTGCCGGCGGGTGCAAAGTGCAGCTTTAATGGATAGCTCATCCTCTGAGTCCAAAGATAGAGTGCAGTTTTAACTGATGACGAGGTTCTACGAAATACCTACATGTTTCTTTGTGTTTCTTCTCCTGCCTTATATAAAACGTGGACGTTGCAAATGGTTAAATCTTCGTGAAATTCAGTTGCATAATAGGAGCTTATGCATAACCAAAGAATAGACAAACTTAGCGTTCTCGTATATTACATTAACGTTTAAAAAATTCTGAGGTGATTAAAAAATTTCGAGCTCTTCCCCAGATATCGCCGCCGTAGAGCTCGTTGCATATGACCATTAGGACAAACTAATCTGACCATCCTCAGGCAGCGTAGATGTAAAAATAGGCAGACTCCCTCTTCTGCCAAGCGGAGCAGTGCACGAGAGAGCGACAGTTTGGCATGGCCCTCGCTTTTCAAGATTACATAGCATATGAGTTCATCTGATATAGTTAGTCCAGTCTGTCCTTCGGACGACAGGCTGGCCAAACATACGAAGAATTTCTCGGAGAGTTACAAATGCACGAAGAAACTTCAGAGTCGGCAAGTATGTGAGTTACTTTCAGACTGAAACTAAGGAATAGTTTCAACGAAATTGTCTTTTCTCGGCACGATCTCAGGAAAGCAAAACTACTTTTCTTCATTCAGTAATCGAGCGATTTAGAAGCAGGTGATTTAGAAGCAGGTGTCACATATTAAAGCCCAGACGAACGGAGGTCCTGTCTTGTGTTTTCGACAGCCCTCCGACGGCTGTAACCCAGGCTCGTCCTCCTTCTACTTAACTGCGCTACATTTCGTTGAGCGTTGGTTTCTGTCTCAAGAAAGAAAAGAAAAATAAACTCATGTAAGATCTCGCAACCATTAATTAGGCCTTACGCGGTGTCGACAAACGGCGGTGAACATCTATAAATATTTAAAGGGCGACTGTGCCCCAAATCACCGTTCTTGTTAACTGAATATTCTCCCGCAAGCTGCCAGAAAATACAAGCCCGAAATCTTAAAATATAAGACACACATTTCCCCTCAACATTACGACAACGAACATGACACAAAAGCGAAGCTCATATCGTTTGAAGAAACCAAATGTGCACAGACGAAAAGCGCCTAAAAAAAATAAAACAAAATAACACCCAGAGAGTATGGAACATGGCATAGTTGTTCGCGCACTACCGCGACCAAGAACTGTATACTTTCTCATTTCCTCTTTTTCATTCCAATTATTTCGTTCTGTCCTCGTCCTATCCCTCGATGCCTCGCAGCGCAAAGACATACATCTCAATCTTCACCGTAACAAAATAGCCCCAGTTGCGTGACGCGAGTTGGAGATCCCAGACATCCCAGGTTGGCGGTCGTACCGCACTGGTCAGATTGCGAGTCGATAACCGACGCGCCGCCGGACGCTATTTCGAGGCAAACTAACTTCCCGGTGTCCAAATCTCCCGAGACAAATGAACGTTCGACCGCGCCGGTTCGATTAACAACGAGCAGTCGGTCGCCACCCGCCTCATTCGTCGACCAGTTTCACCATACCTCTGGAGTTGGGAAGAAGCTGACGCCCAGAGAGATTGGCCAATCGAGTGGATCGACAGCGACGCCCGTCCGAGCCGCACGGTATCACGCACCGCACAAGCCAGAAGCCAGAAGCGCGGCTGCGGGCACGGATGGCCACGCACGACGGTCTCGGAATTTTGGGAACGGCCTTGGACAGGACGGTCAGAGACAAGGGGAACATAAAGATGCCACGAACGAAGTTACGATATCTCCGAACGCGGGACACGGTGGCGGTTACGCGTTTCCCTACGCGACACGTAAATCGCACAGCGCGGCGATTGTCGGGAAAGAGCGGGGAATGTCCCATTCAGATGTCGCGTCTAAAGGAACAGATTTTTTTTTAAATTGAGTCATTTTGAAATAATTTTTTTTTCAAGGTTTCGGGTTTCATCTTTGCTTGATCTGTTTGAATTAGAGATAGGGAGGAGTTACAGCAGATCGTTCTGGCACCCCGGATATGGCGATAACGCTCAAGATGCGAACTTGGGAGCATGTTGGGGAGTCGCCAGAGCGAGCTTCCGATACCAATATCGTTCTCGGAAGACACAAACCGCTAAGCCTCCCCAAGAAGATGGATTATAAGCGGTAATCTCCGTTTTTACAGATCGCCCAGAATATAAAAAAAGCCTGAAAAGGGAATTAGAAATAATATCTAGGCAGTTGTAGGTTTAATTTTAAGGAGGCGAAATCGTCGTGCAGAGAGGGGCGAGGTACGATAGTTGACATTACGCCGTCAAACGATTTCCACGAGAGAAAATTGTTCAATAAATGTATTTACTAGAACATTTGAAGGGTGTGTTCTTTGTCTCCTGTTTCTTCAGTCTCGGGTTTTCATAACGCTGAGACATTTGCACTGTCTACCGATGTCAGCATCGTCTGTGCAGCATATAATGTTCAATTAAACAGTATAATTTGCATAACCTTTTTAAATTTAATACGCGTGCCAGCTTGCTGGTCGAATAATTATCTTAATCGTCATCCTGATGCCGATTAAATAAAGCTAAAATAAAAGCACCATGAGTGATGCCGAACCAAGAATATCAAAATAACGAATTTTCATCGCTTCATGTCCAGGTAATTTTTACGCTTTTCTTTGAACGTTTCTTTACTATTTTGAATCAGCTGAGTGGAAACCTTAATAAGGTATTTTAACTATATCGTGCCATCACCGCGACAGCCGTAAAAAATATTTTTAAAAAACATATGATTTGTGCATCAATAAAAAAATGTAGAAAAAAAATGAAGACAATTTTCAGCACTTTTATACTGCAGTCTCATCTAGGTTGCCGAGCCCCAAATTTTATATTAATAGAATGACAGAGCTGATCAATTCACTTTATTATGCCCGTTCCCTAAATATCTCACGTTTATAGAAAATTGTTGCATGAAATGAAGACTTATCTGTTGTCTTCATAGCACTGACACACTCTAAAAAAAGCTCGTGCATCTGCTCTCCCGCACAACACTCGGAGAGCCAATCACCGCAACTTACGGAGGCAGCTCAGCGAATGACGATGCCGAAACATATGCTTAGACCAGAAAACGCGGCCTGAGTTGTGACATTAAGCAATGCAAGCGTGACGTTTAGCATTGCTTAATGTCACAACTTAGACTGCGTTTTTTGGTTTGAACATATGTTTTCGCATCGTCATTCGCTGAACCGCTTCCGTAAGTTGCGGTGATTGGCTCTCCAAGTGTTGTGCGGGAAAGTAGACGCACAGACATTTCTTACAGCATGCTCAAAGCCTTCGATATATTTCTTGATAATCAGGGAACGATAAAATGTTTATCAAAGCAGGATAATGCTATGAATGCCCCGTAATCGTTGTCCTGCTTGCGCAACCTAATTTTCTAACCTTTTTTTTTTTACTTTGCTTTCTAAAGTTGCCAATGGTGTAAACCGGTAGAGGACTAATTCCACGCGAAATCACACAAAGAAAGTCTTAGCCCGGAACACTATCCAAAACGGAAAACTCCTATCTCCTTTCATTTCCTTATCGTCGTCTTGCTCTTTCAAACACTTACGACAGTAGGAACCAAACAACCAAAAACAGAAAGAAAACACTGAGAGCCATAACATTAAAATGTATACTAGGACAGAATCGAAGCTGGTAGGATATGTGACCGGCGCCACGGTTCTTGACGTTTACGACGCTAAAGGCGCCTGTTTGGACACCGCGCAAGAAAAAGTCACGCGGTCACGACGGTTATTTCGAGTCGATTTCTTTTCCGGGCACTTGTTTTCTTCCTCCCTAATTCAGGCGATATAGTGCCACATGAGCCATTCATTGTGAAAAACTAGAAAGAATCTCAGTACCCAATATAAAAGGCACGGCAATGATCCGTTCACGCAGCATTCTCCTGCAACGCTGAGCATTGCTGTTCCGGTAAGTGTGCCGACCTTTGCCTACTTCTTAATGCGTTCAAACCCGTTACGTAATGTTTGAAACCGCGCTTTAAATTGACATTACTTCGACAAAAATCTCATTTAAACTAATACGTAAACGATAGGCTTTATTTTTAATATACTTGGATAAGAGACACCAAGTAAATTTGAGCGACTCACAATTTCCACGGCGTGATTAAGCTTTTATATAAGGTACAGTGGTAGGACGGTTTAAAAAGGTGTGAGACGAATACTTCCGAAGCACGCGAAGCCCGCAGATACAAATTGTAGGTAAATAATCTCTGCTAATGACAAAAAATATTTTCCGAGCGAATTAATCGCTGCGCTACGTTGAATGGTCCCAGCGCCTGATGAACTCGTAGCATCTACTAGGTACTTGGAATCACTCAAAATTTAGACCTTCTATTTATAATAGCGCTGATGCTCAAGTAACAAGTATAAAGATACACAAACATAAAGCCAAATGAAGTATGAAGGCGCTCACAGGCAGGTGCCCAAAAGCGCGTATAAACCCACGAATGTGCCGAATATTTCCAGTAATTTCTTTTTCAGGCTCCGCCCTGTTTTGTCGCGAAGTATAGAACCAGCCGAGTAAGCCGAGCACCATGGACAACAGCGAGGATGCCATCGTGGAGATGCTCAAGGAGAGGATGGTGGGGAACAGCACGTTCCTGCAGTACATGGAGATTGTCATCGAGAGACTCCGCTCGGGGGAGGAGTTCGAGCGGACGCCCATGCTCATGGCGCACACGGGTAACGTGGCGAGATCGCGGTGCTGACTAACACGATGCCCCCCCGTTAGGCTGGCAACTTTGATTGTGTAGGGAGCAATGCCATGAGTAGCAACGCCATCATGAAGAATGGCGGACCAAACGATTCATGAATGCCTTCCTCCAACTGACGATCGTTTTGTAGCGGCTAAGGTTTGATGGGATCTTTATGTCAGCCTTGGGCGTGAACCTTCCGCTGATCCACGATAAAGCCCTGGTCGAAAGACATGTTGTTTTGGTCATGGAGGTCGAGTGTCTAAGAATTGGGAATGCAATACGCAGTATGCATTTCATGGTATATGACGCAACTACGGGGGAAAATATTTTGGGTCCTTACAACGAGCCAAAGATTGGCCACGTACATCGAACTAAAAAATAAAAAAAAACAAAAAAAAAAAACGAACATTTGAGGCCCAGAACTTTAATAATGTATAAAAGACTCTAAGCTATTCGCAAACGCAAGGTAGTTAAAACTGGAGCGTTGCCAATACAGTTTATATTAGCCTAAACACAAGGAAACTGATTTATATTTTATGAACGCGTCAATACTTTGATGCCAAGAAAAACTTTGACATTCGTCACGGTAATAATACAGCAGCTGCACGACCTTTACATATGAGTTTGATACATAACAGTATTCCCCTCTTCCTCGTTGAGGAGTAGGGGGTGCACAAACTCACAACTGAATTTTGTTCTGCCACCATTACTTTCCACAAACAAGTAGCGACCTTAACAAAACGATGGGTAGGAAAGTACGAAATTGCATAATATACCAGGTTGTACAAGTGACTGGCTAATGTCCTACCTTACGCTCCTAAGGTGATGCTGTTGTTTCTTAAAAACTCCGCCTATAGACAACGACAGATTCACAGACCTCGTCTACCAAAGTGGTAGGGAGTTTTCTATTAGGTTTAAGCTTAATGTTAAACACACTATGACCACTAGTGTGAAAAACAATAGCCAGCAAGTGGATCAAGAGTGTAGGAAGTGACCTAGTTAATTGTGTGCCTGGCTGAAGTTCACACTACGCACACATGCACAAAAATCCTGCTAGTTCACTTTGCTGTAGCACACTAAGGAAGCCATTCACTGCGAACAACAAAAGAATCTCAGCGAACGACGAAGCACAAAATACGATTAGATCACAAAAATGCCATGTGTCCAGGAACACTAAACAAAGCACGACGTTTTACTTGCCCATTGACCTTCCTTCTCTACATCACATTTTTCAAGTTGAAGATTGTATTCCGAGATTTATGATTCACTGGGTTCTTTACGTTGCTCGCAGCGATCGGCTACCTGCTTATTCTACAAACAAACAAAAAAAGTAACGCACGGGAGTTATTTTCTTGTTTGTTTGTTTTAGAGCGTATGAAATTACAAGATGGTGATGTCACACATCCATGGACCCCCTGTAATAGAAATCCATTACCAGAAAGGAGGCATGAGCGCGCTGCTTGTTCACCGTTTCATTAGGCGGTGCCAAGACGCTGCAGGTAACCCAGCTGGACTACCACATCCCGGCGAACACTCGGCACCACCACACGGACAAGTTCCTGCTCACCCAGAGCAGCGACGCAACGCTGGTGGTACGCCGAGGCCTCCCGGTCACGTACAGCGTGCAGTTCGATCGGCCTTACGACGGAATCCGGGACCAGGTCTTCATCATCCTCAACACTGGCGAGTGACCTATTGGCATTCGCTGCCAGACTCTCATTCGAAAGACGAGCGGTAGAATGGCTCCAGTGGGGGGCGTAATTTTACATTAGAGAGTTTCAGTTTAAACTTTCTGTCATCGTTGCATTTCTATACGGGTAGGTGGGGCCGTTATATCGAACTGCGGATTGAGCAACCGCCCGCAGGGCCCGCAATATGCACTCTATGCTCAACCGTACTACCCGAGTCAAATGAATCGTTCCGGCGCTGCGTTATACATCAGCCTTTATCGCCGACTTAGGTATTCTATACATAGGGGGGAGTTCAACAAACCGTAAATGAGCTTTCCTGTTCAGCCGAACGGCCTTCACGTTCGAGCGAGATTTTGAAATATCTGTTGAGTGGAACACGGGGGAAGGGGCATGGGATCAAGAGTCGAAATGGAGAGGAAAGAAACCTGTTACAGCACCGCGCATATATTATGCACCGCTCGGCTTACGCAATATGAAGCAGACTGTCCTCTTCTATAGTTGCTGTGTTGCTGGGATAGCCTTAAGCCACGGTCCCAACGCTAATACATCATACCGTCTGCAGACACTGTCTGACGTGTTCGTCTTGTACGACCGTCGCATTGGTCCTACAAAACCTCCCTGCAGACACTTTCGGAGCATGTATGAAGCAAACATTCTTCGAACATGCTTGCGGCATGTTCGCAGATGTCATCATGCCTGCAGCGAACACCAAAAGCCTCTTGTATGGTGTACGAGCAGTGGGACGGCGACTTTGAAGTAATGAAGGTCGATTCATAATTTTAAACGAAGAATGAGTGTATGACCTTCCAGCTGTTGAAGCAGTATAGTCCAATGGGGGAGTGCCGAAATGGTCGCCTCACAGGTCTCGATCCGAGCGAAGAGAACGGCGGCCGGGTGAAGCTCGAGGTGCCCACGACCAGGGGCTCGTTCTTCGCGACGGACAACTCTCCGTGGAGCATCTGCCTCGTGCTCACCGAGAAGAGCAGCATCACCGTCAAGGTCATGCTGCCGCCCATCGCCCCCGTCGGTCTGTGGCGCCTCGAGGTGGAGACGAGGCTGCGCGACTCGGACGACCCGGGGGACAGGGCCCTCTTTAACGTCAAGGAGACCTTCTACATCCTCTTCAACCCCTGGAACCCCGGTGCGAGGGCTCTCCTCATGGTCGCCTCTCATAGCGGCCTTTCCCTTCTCTCCCGAGTGTTTACAGCGGAGCTGTTAAGGGATAGTTTCCCCATGATCGTGTCCCCCGAAAAGAAATGAAGACACCGAACTCTTGACACCTACCGCCATCTATGAGCGACGGCGGCAAGCCACGTATCTGGTTGCCGCCGTCACTCATAGATGGCGGCAGCCTTTCCACTCTGGCTTGCCGAATTGCGGCCAGCCATTACTTTCCATTGTACAGCTCAGCTGGTCTTCCTTCTTCACCAGAGTGGAAAGACTGAAAGAATTTCTTCTCACTTTTGTTTTCGGGGAAGGAAATGAAAACTAACGGTACGGATATATCGGTCTACACCATCTCTATTGTATTTCTGGATAGGTTGAGAAAATATATGATCAGCCTAACACGATGATTAGTGATAAAAAATAGCTAAGAAAAAGAAAAAGGTTTGCAGGTCATGTTTTAACGTAATAATTCATTATTTAATTGTGAACTGCTGGTTACATTTTCCGCTGCATACTGAAGGAGTAAAAAGGGGGGAGCGAACAGACATATAAGAAAACATTAACGTTTCTAAGTTTCTTTTCTTAGTGTGTCTTAATTGTCCTTATAAAGGTGCAACATGTAAGTCGTATTTGTTTCATCAACATAAGTACTTATCTTCATGTTCAAACGAAGTAGAAAAGCTCCCGGTTGTTCGAGCATTAATGCAATTCCTAAAACTAACGCCGACGCGGATCTCTTTCCAGAGGATTTGGTGTACCTTCCCGACGAAACGCTTATCAAGGAGTACATTTTTGAAGATACCGGTAAGCTGTATCAAGGAAACTACGACTACCCGACCGGAAAACGCTGGTACTTCGGGCAGGTAAGCCGACAACAAAATTAGCTGATATACGCATCTTTAACAACCTGTGGTGAAGTGTCAACTGGACATCAACACCACTCATTACAAAAACTTGCAGTCGCGATGTCAAGAATATCGAAAATGTAGTATCGATAATCGGAATAAAGGAGTAAATAAAAGCTGTATTTATTTTCTTTCAGTTCACGGACGTGGTCCTTCCGACCTGCAACTACCTGTTCGAGCTGGGCGACGTGAGCGTGCAAGACAGGGCTTGCCCCGTCAAGCTCTCCAGGCACATCGCGGCACTGGTAGGCAACAACATTGCCCTGAAACCTTCTCCGTGTATCTGCCCCAATGAAGCGTAGTGAGTCTCAGATATAAATGTCATACACGCGCCCGTTGGAACACCATTAAAAGGGTGATAATCCCAATGACACCTCTCTTGGTGTTACGACTCTGGTCGCACTTAGAGAGGAGAACGTGCTTCTCGGCGTTGTTTTTGCTAAAACTCTCTGGAACCCGAGTTCCGAAAGCATCAAAAACCGTTTCTCTCCAACAAGCAAAATTTGTGACAGTAATTTCCTGCAAAATTGTTCGCAGAATCAGAGAGGAATGACTTGGTCAGTGATAAATCTCTAATACGATTTTGTCGAAAAAAATCAATCAATCAAACTTCTTCAGTGGTGCTATCGTTTTCCCAGGTGGACTCCAGAGACGAAAACGGCGTCCTGGTGGGCTCCTGGAGCAACGACTACGGCGACGGCGTGTCGCCCACAACCTGGACGTCGAGCACCACCATCCTGGAGCAGTACATGAACACCGGAGGCGCTCCGGTCAAGTACGGCCAGTGCTGGGTCTACTCCGGGCTCGTCACCACCCGTACGTGCGCCGTTTCTTACTCGCAGCATACGCTGGTCGAAACTTCTCAGAATCAAGTACACGGGACGGGCGTGACGCCGGCCGATCCATCCCCGCTGAGGGAGACGGCGAATACCCCGCACGCTGTCACTCCGTGGTGCCTCGTTTCGCGTCGGTAATTCCAAGCGCGCACCCGAGTCCCTTTAACTATTTGCTTTCGCGTTTCACGGCGTCATTTACCGGCAACGACAGCAACTGCTTTATTCGTGTTTCCAGGGACTGCCCCGGTTATCCTTCTTATTTTGAGTTGAAAATTCTTTGACTCGAAAGATCAGAAGGCGTTTGGTTTTGGTTACAGCTACAGCTAGCGATATAGGACAAAACATTCGTTTTTTTTTTCTAACTCCTAGCCTTGGGGCCGGAAAGCTCGTACTATCTGCAATCATCGCAAACGTTTGTTTTCGCGCATTCCTTCCGAACACGGCAAAGATGTTTCTGTTTTTGATTAGCGAGGTAACCTAATTGAGTAACCCTCTCATCCGGAGTGAGTGATGAACGGGAGAAGGCAACGCCGTCGTTGACTGCATCGTTTGCGAAGTTGTGTCGGGCGTCATTTATCTGGCCTCGTAATGAGGCGGTCGTTGCCGCTGCAGAGAAGCTGCGACTCTCGACCGTCTTTCTGTTTGTGCGTGCGTGCGTTTCCAGTGTGCCGGGCGCTGGGGATTCCCTGCCGGTCTATTACCAACTTCTCATCGGCGCACGACACGGACGGTAACCTGCTGATCGAGCGCTTCTTCGACGAGAACGACAACCCCATATTCGGCAAAACGGAGGACTCCATCTGGTAAAGCAATCAGTTGTTCTCATTCCGCCTCAGAGAGCTCTTAATAGTACAAAGTACAGTCATCCGACGCAAACTTTACATCAACCTTCATTATGTGGCAAAGTATTGGAAAACACGTGAGCAGATTAGGTACCTATTTTTTGGGCACTATACTTTGATTTATATTCTGTTGTAAGTCCAGATGTGAAAACCAAAAACAGCAACGAAATATGCTGATTCAGACGCAATAAGTTACTTTGGAAACTGCGGCTGTGACAAATCTAATGCTCTGAACGTCCAAAATTTATATTTGACTCCTGAACAAACATATAAACCCAAACAAGGGTGATATATGGCCTAAGTTGAACTGGAGATTTTTGTACTTTGACAAGGAACTTCCATCTGTGGAACGAGCTGTGGATGCAGCGCCCGGACCTCCCCGGAGGTTATGGAGGATGGCAAGTCATTGATGCTACGCCTCAGACTATTAGCGACGGTAAGCAAAACCCTTGGCACCTCCGCGAATGAGTGGTCTACTATCATCTAAGATAGCGGACCACTCATTCGCGAACATACGGGAATTTTATGGGAACTGCAAGAAATAGAACAACTTTTGAGCCCCCGTTTTCATTTTGTTTCCGTTCTTTGTTTTTCGGCTTTCTTGTGACATATCCGATGGGCAAACGAAATTTAAAGGTATTAAATGAAAGACCAAAAGAAGCCAAACCTCGTTTCAGGCTTGTTCCGTGTTGGGCCTTGCCCCGTGGCAGCGGTCTACAACGGCCATCTGGAGGTCAACTACGACGCCCGCTTCGTGTACGCCGAGGTAAACGCCGACTTGATCAGCTGGAAACGCGACGCCGCTACCAAGCAGTTCAAGCAGTCCAACGTGAAGAACGAGAATGAGGCAGACGCGTAAGTGGAGACGGAGTTCATGGTGCCACGCCGAGTGCGGTTGTCGATGCCGATACCACTTGGTCGGATGTCCGATCGCAGCTTCCTGTCGGTTTCCAGACTTGGTGCCTGTATCCAGCAGCCTATGTATACTCTCGCCGTTAGACTAGCAATTATGTGGTGCCCGTGACTATTGTTCGTTGATGAAGAAGCTCCCCGCGGGGCGAGTACCTTTTTGGGGAACAGATGCCAAAAGGAAGAACCGGCGAACTTATAAATTTATGCTTAGCTCAACCTGAAGGAACCCGCTCACAACGGATAATACCCGAAGCCTAAGGGCCCGTTCACACCCTTGCAACCGAGTGCGACCGAGAGCCAAGAAAGAAAAGATAATACACGACAGAAATAGAAAATATGCCGGACCGCCAAGTTTACACTGCTACCCAATAGATGACGCCAGTGTGTCCTCGTGTTGTAAGCAGGTTGTACGAGGTTTTAAAGGGGCACTGACACCCCAAAGGTCGTATTTATTTTTATTGTCTAAAACGATGCAAGTTGCAGTCATAGACACGCAAAAAAAACCGCATCGCGAAAAAAAATTTTCCTGCGCGCGCGCGCGCCTTTTTATTTTTGGCGTTTGATTTTCCCGCCTCTCGCCTCCTCGCTTCTTTTGATCGGTGACGTCAAAAATCAGGAAATTTAGAACCTTTGTAGGCGACATCTCTATAACATTTAATTACGGCAATCCTAAAACATGTTTTTTAACGCAATTGCGAACGCACTACGGCCCTTCTTTTTGAAATACCAAAAATCGGGAGTTCGTTGTGGTGCCGTCTCCTGGATTTGTATCCATGGAGAATAGAAGGGTAGGAGAGGGCATGACGTCGGCCGCGTAGCCTCCACAAGCCATGCTCCCTTGACGCCTCGCCTCTTTCTCATTTTCCTCCTTACTCACCTCACTTACCATGCCAACGTGACCACATCACGTGACCGTAGCTAGCCTTCGTCTTGCTATCGGGTACTAGAATACACCAAAGTCTAGACTTCGATCTGATAAAACCTACCGGACGGAGCGTGCGCAACCCTGCAAGGAGTCCTACTACAATCAACCATCCATCTTACACGTGACATGTCACGCGCACCAATCGCCAGAGAGATCTGCGGTCACGCTGGGCACAAAATCGTTAAAACTTTTTATGACTGGGCTTCACCAATATTGCAACGTGCCCCCTCCTAGTACTTCTAACCTCCTTGTTTGTATCCTCCAACGGAAAACAGGCGACACCGCTCAAAACCGGTCCGCCGAAACCTCGCCGCTCGCTCCTTTCCTCCTCGCTTTGGGTCGCCATGGCAACAGCAGGGAGTGGTGAAAGCAAGTCGACTCTCAGGTCTCCGCAATTTTTGACGTCAAGGCACCGGCGCCGAAAGCGCGGGAACTTCGAATTCGGCATTTGGAAATTGTTTTTTTACTTCACAAATACTGAATTCCCAAATTTCAAATTTTGAGGGTAATGTCCCGGCATCGTTTTCAATCGTTTCGGATAATAAAAAAAAAATATGATTTTGATGTGTCAGTGCCCCTTTAAGGAACCCGGTTTTAAGAGGTCGCAAGAGTGTGAACGGGCCTTAAAGCGCCGTTCACACATTTACAACCGAGTAGGACGGAGAGAGACAAGACCGGTTTTTAAGCCTCTTGCGACGTCTTAGGACCAGTTCCGCTGCAGCGCATCCAGTCCTAAGACGTCGCAAGAGGCTTAAAAACCGGTCTCGTCTATCTCGGTCGTACTCGGTTACAAATGTGTGAACGAGTCTTTACTTAAATGCCCTTAACCCCAGTACGCACGTGAATTCGGAATGAAAAAGACTGAGCGGACCGGGTTCGAATCGTTTTTGGCTGTCGTTTGGCAGCTCTTACAGGGACGTAGGTACAAACTTGGAAATAAACGATGCAAATCCCGACATCTCTAAAAGTAGGCGAGTTTGAACGCGTTTATTAGACCAATCGTTACTCGGCTATAGCAGTGGTTCCAATATATTCCAGTGCCGGCATGTTGATCTACACCAAAAAGATTGGAGAAATGACCGAAGACAACGTAGAGGACGCTGAGGATCTCACCGGGGTCTACAAGGGAGTCAAAGGTACGGCCTATTCAAGACGAGCGCCACCAAAAGAAAACTGCGGCACATATGCCAATCGACTGATAGACTGATGGAACGAGGTTGCGTCCTTTCAATCCATCAGCTTTCTCTGGATCTCCAACATAGGGTATATATATATATATATATATATATATATATATATATATATATATATATACCTTGGAAGAAAAAAACCCTTGGTTAAAACAGCAACAATGGACGATTTATTCTACGACGTTTCGGCCGGAGTCCCGCCTTCGTCTTCCTGACGAAGGCCGGACTCCGGCCTAAACGTCGAAGAATAAATCGTCCATTGTTGCTCGAAGGCAGGACTCCGGCCGAAACGTCGAAAAATAAATCGTCCGTTGTTGCTGTTTTCTCCAAGGTTTTTTTTCTTGAAAATTCCCAGTTTTATACCCACGCCTTCGGCCTCCCGCCACCCATGCCCGTTTTATAGATATTATATATATATATATATACAGGGTGTTTTTTTTAAGCTTAACAGAACTTTTTTTAAAAATCCATGAAAGCTAGAATAATACGGTTTCAGCAGGTGAGTTATACGGCCAGGGGGACATAATAAAGAAGGCTAATCGTAACTATCAGTCGGCTAATAAGTTAAAATTCGTTAATGACCTTTTTATTTAATGAAAATAGACATATAGTTCCAATTAGAAACTTGCTCAGCGTCATCGAAAACCACTAAATCAGTAATTTTCAGAAAGACTTTGAGCGCGTGAGAAGCGTAGTAGTGCACTAAAGTTAGCACTCGTGGAGCACGTACAAAGTTAGCGGTTGCGGTAAGGCGTCCGCGCAATTTTTCCGTCTCTTAACTAGCCCCGGCCTTGTACCTGTACCGGTATATATATAATAGGAACACATGCAAGAACACCCGCCATCGCCAGGACGTGTGTGTAGATTATCCCTTTTTGAAAGGCGCATCACAGAAATCGGCGAACAGGCGATCTTGAGCGCACACTTTTGATTGATTAATTGATTAAACGAAATGTTAATCGATTAATTTTATAGCCATGTACGCACTCCAATATACGTGATTGCTTCAGTGGCTCCGAAGAAGTCGGTGATGGGGTTGTCTGGAGCGGTTCCGCCCGACGAGGTGGAGATGAAGATGGTGGAAGTATCCTCAGTGCCCGCAGGACAGTCGGTCAAGCTCGCTGTGACCTGCACCAACAACAGCAAGGCTGTGAAGAAGGTCAGCCTCACCTTGTCCGCCTCGTCCGTCTTCTACACCGGGGGCGAATACAAGCAGCTGAAAAAGGGTGTCATCAACTTGGAACTCCAGCCTGGAAAAAGTAAGCCCCCAAAAGGTTGCAACGATTGTCTCTCGTGGCTAGTGCAAACCACGCCTTCTAACTTCAGGCGAATAGAAAGAAAGTCAGCATCGCGCAATGTTATACATGGGGTGTTACAGCATATATGTAATCGTGCTAGTACGTTTTGCCTCGAACGCGCAATTCACAGTGCGTACATTTGTAGTATGGAATTAAAAAAAATATTTTGCTAAATTTATAGAGCGTGATACAGCTTTTTATTTTCATTTGATGTGCTCTGTCACTCGATTGAATTGAGAAACTAGATTGAGTAATGCTTCTTTTAGAGTATATTGAAAGCTGGGAGTTAGTACTCAAGAACGCACTGATGGCAAAATAACTTTTACTTTCATTTATGGCGCTTATACAAATTAGAGTCCCCTTTTCATGGTTAACAAAGCAAACCAGAAACATGTAGTGTGACGACATGTAATGTTTGAAGACCCGGCTTGTGGTATCGAAAAACACTTTCAAAGGAATAAACGTGAACAACCGATAGCCGGTTAATAGATTTAGTGTCGTAATTTTGCTGCCACACGAGAGAAGTCACCTGGAAAAAATTAGTTCTAAAGTCAACTTTGTCGACATTTACAGCGTAAAAACACTGATTGATTACAACAAAACGACAAAGCGAAAAATCTAATACAAAAATCCCATGAGAATGTTTCTGTTGTTGTTCCAGCCGAGACTGGCAGCATCACTGTAACCCCCGAGGATTACCAAACGAAACTTGCACCTTACAACATTGTCAAGCTCTTCGCTCTCGGCCGTGTTCAGGGAAGCGGTCAAGGGTCTTGGTTCAAGCACTGCAGGATTGCCATTGGTAACCCGTCCATGGAAGTCAAGGTGGGGGCCTCTCTGATATTGCCTAGTGCGATGCGTCTGCTCATGTTAAATTTATTTTTAAAAAAGACGGTATTTTGGTGTCTTAACCGACACCCTTCATTTTGCTAGTAGAATAACGAACAACGAGAACAATTACAGAACCGGCGTATCGGATATTGAGATTCAAGGACACGCATTTATTGTTCGTCAGGTATCGGGACCCCTCAATGTGTCCAGAGCCATGGAATACACCCTGAGCTTCGATAATCCATTGAACACGCCACTGACTGGATGCAGCCTGACACTGGATATTTCCGGTATCACCCTACAGTCCCAAGTGCATAACGTGCCGTAAGTACTGTTCCGGTTCTCAACAATTCGTACTGAGCCTCGACTCAATCGCGATCGGTGGGAGAGCTACACGGCCTGGTTAACTGTCACTGAGCCACTAATGACAACTGAGCTCGACTGAAATGACCTACACCTACCTTAGTTGAACTGGACAGACTTCGTTATTCACTCCGTGCGACGCGACCGGCGCGCCAGCACGCGGCCGTTAGCGAAGGTTGGCGGTGAGAACCCCAGAGAAACGAAACCACTCCGCGTACATTAGTACGCATTGAAGTCGAAGGGGTGCGGTTGCGTTGGGGTGACAGTTTGAGCTGCCCCGTCGTTAGGTGCTTGAACAGTTATGCGTCGTGTCTCGTGGGGACAAGGTTTCATAATTTTGTAAGCCCACCGTTGTTTTGTGCGGCAGCGACAACGGTGCATTCGTGCAGCACGATGCAAGTAATTCGGTCTTTCGATCATGTCTGGCACGTGTCGGCACGGCTGACATATCCCGCACTGCCGCTTTGCGCGCTGTGTTTGTTTTTGTGCCGGTAACGTCTACATGTGTTAGCGCCGATGGGACGAACTGAGAAACCAGACCACACTCGCGGGTATGCAGTGCCCATTTCGTTGGAGGAATGACCTCCAAAGGCGTTTCGTCCCCATCGTACGTATCGATTATCCTTACGGACCAGGATGGCTGCAGTCTGTACGGGACGGTACAAAAGGTGACAAATGTAAATCTAAGGGAAACTACATTGATGCTTGGAATTACTGGGCAATCGACGCTTGAGTATGGCAATTTAAGTGGTGCGCTTTTTTTTTTTTTTTTTTTTTTTTTTTATCAACCTGTTTTCGGACGTGGAAATCGCCTTTCTTCACATATGGAATTGACGGTAGGCAGTATAGGTGACTGTAAAACAAAACGCCGGCATTGTTTTTGATCAAATTAATGCAAGATAACTGGTACTGATCAATCAAAAATGGAAGAAATTATAATTATTAAACATAAAATAAATCAGTTGTATCAGTTGTAGGTACACATTATATAAATCATGTGTATCTATTATTTAAATACTTTACCGAAAATCATTTGTTTTTCGCTAGTTTTTTTGAGCACGGGAAATGGAATCCTCAATTCGCCCAATCACTAAAAACAGTGTAAAAGAAAGATTCACTGTAAATGTAATTATATCGTAAGGAGCACATTAGTTAAAATACTGTTTTCTTGATGTAAACAACGTCATTCTAAAACAAAAAGAGCTTGAATTTCTTTTCTTTTTCAAAAAGTTTTATTAATTGTCATATTTCAGAAAAGCAAAGTAAGAATATCTCCGAAGTATATATGAAAATGCCGAGGAAACAGCTTCTTCCCGAAAAATTGCTTTCTATCAGGTTTGGTGCACGCGGTGCCACTGTTGCCACTGCTTCCGAGGCCGGCTCCAAACGAAGTATAAAAACCTCTCTAAGCCGCACCAAAAATAAAAAAAAAGCAAAAAAATAAATATATTCAACGACGTAAATGTATGGTCATTGAGCTGGAGCACAGTTCGAGATTTGTTTAACGACCGATCCTATCTTTTGGTTTTAAAGTGCGCAAGCTGGTGGCATGATTTCATTAAAAAAAAAAAAATGGCAGGCTCGTATAAGACAAAACGTATATACTTGATAAGCCTTACATGTACAATTAGATATGTCTGTGCCTGACCCTCTCAGTCACTCTGTTTGTCGGTCTGTGTGCGTGTGCGCTCACGCACGCACATTTTCCCCCCCTTCGGATTCTGATATGCTTGCTTGGGATGCCACGTAATTAACTAAATAAGTGGAAGATAGAAACAAAGCTCACCCCTCCGATTAGCGCGGAAGAGCACCGCATTTTGCTCGTGTTCAGCCTGTTATCAATTTTATTTACCTGATGTTTTTTTAAGTTAAAAACAAAATATATTTACATGGGGACAGCTTTCGGTTGACATCTAGAAGTGAAGGGTATTGTGTGTAGCTTTGACTGGTGCTCACGACGCTCGAGCGTACGAGCGCCCATAGCTTTGGCTACACAGCCTCAAGAATTTGCCTTCAAGTGTAATTCAGTTCAAGATGGCGGCTTCCGTGGCGGCCTGTGATAGCGAAAGATTTACTCTTTGCGAATGCCAAGGAGGCATCTAGATTCAAAAGCAGCGAATATCGTGGGAGGGGGCACGTCATGGGTCGGAACTACCGTTATAATTATACCGGAAGTACGGTGCCTCGAACGCGTTTTGGTTTTCTTCGGTTTTGGTGCCTCGACTTGCGCCCCGTGATGTCACCACGGGTGAAATTAGTTGCTGGCGGCGATTTTGGCAGTCGCACATAAGTGGAGGTAGATAGGACAGTTCGTCAATATTAAATCATCTTAATTGTTTTAGAAAGGTCATGTGGCGCCAGATGTGGTTTCATTTTTGTTTCAACTCGAAACAAAACAGCCGAGTTTCACAATCTTAGTTCTTAGTTCTTCCGAGCCGAATCACAGGTAGGGGTCCGCTAACTGCCGTTGGACTAACGAGATTTGAAGCGACCCGTTTAACTTGGATATACAAATGAACTTCCTTTTGTTGTCCGTTGGGCGTGAAATTAAAAGCTGCCGTCCCGCTTGTTCTGTCATCCAGGGATGTGCCAGCCAAGGGCAAGTTTGTGTACACTGGAAAGATCATCCCGAAGCGTCCGGGCGAGAAGTCCGTCATGGGCGTGTTCAACAGCAAGGAGCTCAAGGACATTCGAGGCACCAAGGTTGTACACGTAAAGTAGCCCTTGGGCCTGTCCGACCGCACCGACGCCTGCCCTTGTCCCTGGACGCCCGCCTCCGAATTAATTGTGCCGGAGTGCATTTTTGTTTTGTCTCTTCGGTGGCTGGTAATAAACAGAAAGGTTTTGGGAGCATCATTACATTTTCTGCGTCATCATTGTAGTTACGAGCGCTGGACGGCTTCTTTGGTCGACCAGTTTATAGTACTATCTCATTAAAACATGGGGTTCCTATACAGGGTCGACACATCAGGGGTTCACCAACTTCCGAAATTGCCGAGCACAAAACGCACACCAGTATGTCACACTTCACCAAACACCCACACAAAAAAGGATCTATACTTTCTAAAAGCTACGGTGAAGGCGTACCTCCCATTTTCAACTAAAATATCAATTGTTCATCGTCTCTAAGATTATTCCAAAGCCACTGGAGAATTAAATAATAAGTGTGATGGAAAAGAGGTAGTTCCACTTGTACACGATCAAACCCAAGACGAAAGACGAAAAGAAAACACACGAAGGTGTTCTTCTGAAGCACAAAGCCTTTACAAAGTGTGGGTCGTGGGTGGAACACAAATTGTGTTCTTCTGAAGCACAAAGCCTTTACAAAGTGTGGGTCGTGGTTGGAACACAAATTGTGTTCTTCTGAAGCACAAAGCCTTTACAAAGTGTGGGTCGTGGGTGGAAACAGGACGAAAAGTTTTAAACCGCATCTTATAATAATGCTAATAGAACGATTGTTACAAACCGTTCGATTTTATGAGGAAAAAAAAAAGCCAATACATTCACGAACTTTCATGATACCTTAAGTGGGAGGTTAACTGGATAGCCCCCCTGCAAACTACCCAATACAATATTACTTTTTCTAATGTGCTTTCGCCCGATAATCTGTAAGAGTGCCTGGGATGCGGTTGGTTATTATCTCCTAAGCCGCCATGTGCAAAGCGGCAGAGGCATGCATTCGAATGGAGGAATTATCTATCTCCTCGGTAGTCTTGACATCCTGGTTTATTTTCAATTCTTCACCTGCTTCATGCCGGCTCAAGAGTTCGAACCGGCGTCAGAAGTTAAGGGCGATGCCATAAAACAAATCGAAATGCGCGTCGTAGTTTAGAAATAGCATCGGAATTGCCAGCAATAAATAACACGTCAACGTCAACTTCCGCCCTTCACCCTGCTCTACAACTCACACAAAAACAATTACAATTCCGTGATCTTAGAGGGCATTCGTATTTGAAGCCTAGGATTCTGAACCAGTCAATTGAGCCGTCAAGCAGAAACGTACAGTAACGGCTCCTTAGAAATAGCATTTGCATAAGAAGCGATGATTGAATCACGCGATCTCCATTCAAATACCAATGAAAAGGCTCCTTAGGGTTATTTTCTCAACGGTCATAACAAAAAACAATATTTATCTTTCCAAGAAACAGCTAGCGGTGCTTTCGGTCACGAAGACGTACGCTTGGAGTTTTTTTAGGTTTGTATATAAGCTCTTGCCTTTAAAACACGCGTTACTCACGCACTCAACACGAGGAAAAAGCGTTTTGTTTCGTCCACAAGTTGCTACGTCCGAGATATTCAATAAGCAAGGTAAGGAGTCGTCAAAACGTCGCAACTTAACAACAGTCAGAACCTTGGGCTCTAGCTGTTGCTAGAGCTATAGTCTGAGAATGCGGATGGATACCTAATTTTCCCCCCAGAAAATAGATAGCGAAGGGCTTTAACAACTACGTTTTCCCTAGAGACGAAGGAAGTAACTGCGGTGAAAAGCACCGACATTTAAAACAAAATACACCGGGTTTCCGCCACACAAACACTGCATGCCATTTCGACGAAATGTCCCGAACGCTCTCTGACAAACGTGTGAAAGGGTTCGCTTGCCTCGCGTACGCGCTAATCCTAAATTGGATATCGCTCTAAAAAAAAGCCCGTGCGTCTCCTTTCCTGCACAGCACTCGAACAGCCAATCACCGCAACTTACGAAGGCAGCTCAGCGAATGACGATGCCGAAACACATGTTTAGACCAAAACACGCAGACTGAGTTGTGACATTAAGCAATGCAAGCGTGACGTTTTGTATTGGTTAAAGTCACAACTCAGACTGCGTTTTTTGGTATAACATATGTTTCGGTATCGTCATTCGCTGAGATGCCTCCGTAAGTTGCGGTGAGTGGCTCTCCGAGTGTTGCGCGGGAAAGTAGACGTACGGGCTTTTTTTAGAGTTAAGTGGGCATTTAAAATCGTTATACAACCAAAGCTGAGTTGCGTCTCGGTGCGATGATTCTGAATCATAGAAAAAACTAAGATTGAAAAAGAAACAAAAAAAAAACATAAAAGCAGCCTCAAGGAGAGTAAAGGCCGGTCCTCCATGCAGCGAAGCGCTGACACTGCAGCGCTGACGTAGCGCTGCTCACCTGTCGTCAGCTACTTATCGTGTGCCATGAGCAACCGTTTTGACGGTGCGATACAAAGCTGTTGAATGCTCACGTCTGCACGCACTTAGCGCGAGGTCAGCGCTGTGCTTGTAGCGCTTCGCAGCATGAGTGAACAGGTCTTACCCCCCCCCCCCCCCCCCCCCCCTTTTTTTTTTAAAAATCTTTAACGACTTATTCGAGTGTGAACATATTTCTACATTTCAGATCAAAATTAAAAAAAAAAAAATCGTGTATACAACAAGATGACTAACGAAGCACGCCAACCTTTCCTGGATGTCTTCGGCACCGGAGAAGGCTATTCGGGCGACTCGGGAGAAACAGGATTTGCTGGTGAGTTTACTTCACGCTGATCCCCAAATGGGATATGTGCACCTTAAAAACTTCCCACGGCGCACGCCAAAAAAAAAAAAAAAAAAAGAAAGAAAAAAAAAGAACATAATTATTTACCACAGTCAGTGACAGCCTTAGAGACTCAGAGCCTGGCGAACTCAGAGTCGAACATCTAATTATCAATCTGCAGCCAATCAGAATGTCGAGTTAGCCGATAAGAACGACGAACAACCAATCACGAAGCCGGAAGCGTGCATTAACATAATAAGCCGCGCCCTGGGTTTCTCCAGCTGTCAGCGACTAGGAAATATATAAGTCGCAACTAAATATTACCTAAATTTTTCTTGCCAACAAAGAGTTCGTATTGCGAATAAATTTCGCCCACTCGGCGATGAGGTCATGCCAGAACGTATTCGCGACGTCAGCGCGTCCCCTGATTAGTCCCGTTTCCATTTATCGCTCAAAACTGACGCATGGGACGGTCGAAGACGAGCGACGCTCGGTCCCCCAAAAAGGACGGCCGGTGCGAGCGTATAGACAACGAGGGGGGTTGGGCCTCTGGCCGATTACGTCAGGTCTGTCACGGTTGCCTAGTCTCGAGATGAGAGCTGTAAATATTTTACGAAATTTTTTTTCTTGTTGTATTTATCGAAAATACGGTCAGTGTGCAGGCGAGCTGGTGGAAGTTCATCACGAAGACTTGAACATGAGACTGGGGCAGAGAGAGAGAGGAACACGTTTTACAGTGGTAGAAAAAGAAACAGGGACAGACAAGTCTCTAATATGGCTAATGATTTCATTTAACCCATCCTCCTTACACACGGATCCACTACGCCACAAAACTGCAGAACATACCATTTTTTTGTTTTTGTTTTTTCAAGGCCAACGCACCAAAACCCATTAAAATGACAAAACACAACCTAGAAAGCAAAACCAACTTTAGATTGCACAAAGATCTTCGGGGCTGCTTCCCTTCTATCTTGACCACGAGAGCCCTAAAAGCGTGAACATTGGTGCGCATATTAAGAAACCTATGAATAGTTCATATCGGGAATAATTGATTGCTTGCAGGTTCCGGAACCGCCGCTTTACTCCAGGAGCCCTTCAGGTCAAATATAATACGTTAACTGTGAAACACCTAAAGCGTGAGCGTTAATGAGCACGCACGGTAGAAAACATAATACGAGACAATGTTTCATTGCGTGAGCAGTGCAGTACCGGGATTTTTTCTACGTGTCCTTCGGAACACCGACGCGTTAAATATTCATACTTCGAGGCGAGAGTCCCGCACGAGCTTTCGGCACGGAGGAAAGTTGACACGCCCCGCAATTCCGATCACCATGACCAACATTCGTCTGACTGATCAACAATGTCCTTTTCCGGCTCATGGCTCGATTGACTCAAGCCCAAGGGCCAGGCGTGGTGCGTCAAGTGGACCTGTACTTCGAGGAGAACGCCGCCCTCAACAACACCCAGCTCTACAAGACCATGCAGGGCCAGTTTTCCGCGCTCGTCCTGAGGCGGGCCAGCATCTTCAAAGTGGGGCTGCACGTCGACCGAGCTGCCAGGCAGTCCATGGGTCAATGCCAGCTTATTATGTCCCTCGGTGAGGCGATCATTTCATAAGAGGCGACCAAATTACCTCCGAACCCGCGCCCCGTTCTGGAGGTACTCAGACTTCAGAAAAATGAGCACGCAAAACGCGTCTCAACTCGAGATTCTAAAATACTGTTTTCTTTCTGAAAAATACAGGCATTAATACAGCGTAAATAAAATATATATCAATAAGTAAGTCTAGACAAACATGCTCGGTGTTGTGATAAGTTCCAGCTAGTACCGTCTTAATTGTACCCGTGCGAATATAGTGTTCGGAATATAGCGAGGGCGTCCAATGCATTTATTTATTCTGCCGCCAACTCAACTACAGGCAATGAACCCAACGAAGAGGATGGTTCGATGGCTCGGCTGGCCGTACCCGCTGCCGCCGGCACAGGCATGCTTTCGGGTCAATGGAGCATTTCGCTGCAGTCCGAAAGCATGGGCATGCTGATGCTGGACGTGCAAGTGCCGGTCAGCGCTCCCGTGGGCCGCTGGGGAATGACGGTGGCAGTAGGGGGTGAAGTCGTCTTTACGGTCCGGATTCCCATCTACATCATCTTCAATCCCTGGAGCCCAGGTAACAAAAAGCACGAGACGCTGCCCCCCCCCCCCCCCCCCCCCCCTTTTTTCCGTCCACGTCTTTGTGCTTACATAGCGAGCCAATCCGCTCGTTATGTCGGGGCCGGCTTGCACGGAGCAATAAGCACATAACAAGCCCCCAAAAAAAAAAAAAAAAAAGTGACGTCTCCATGGTTTCTACGTCTTATTATTAGGCTAGCGTTGAGCGGGCGTGCTTGCAGAAAAAAAGAATCACTTGGCAGACGGGATGTGTTTCGAGGAAGCCGGACCCTTGTACCCCTTTCTGGCATCAATGAAAAGTAGGAACTCTCGCTGAGTTATGCTTGATTCACACGTTTGCGATTTTACTTGCTACTTCGTAGTTGCGACGTCGCTTTTGGGGCAAAATAAGCGCGATGAAAACGGCGACGCTCAACGTCACAGCCGCGAACTTCGCGAGTAAAATCGCACAATGTTAATCAGACTTAAGTCGTCGACAGCACTGCGTCTTCTGTTTGCAATGCCTCGTGATCGAAACTTTTTCAAACACATGATCGAAAAACTGCGTATACGCGGCACCGCGCGCGTGTCGCATGATCATTAGCGAGCTTTAGTAGACCGTGTTTCCCCCTCCGCTAAGCCCCTCCGCTACCCGGAACTCTACAGCTAAGGCCATCAGCGCGCAGGCGCAGGGGCGGTTTCTTCGTAGCGGAGGGCTAGTGGAGGGGGAAACACGGTCTACTAAAACTTCCTATTATTACCTTTTCCGAACGTCAATGATGACGATATTCGCGCGTCTTCGGAGCAACCGCGTGTTTCTGACAAATCGACCCGTTTGACCAGACAGTCGAATACTGAGAGGCTCGCATTTTGGGTAACAATATAAGAAAGCCGAGGAACGAAGAGACTGCGAGGGATTTGCACTCTTGCGTTTATTTGCAGAGGACCCGGTGTACATACCGGACGATGTGGCGCGGAACTTCTACACCATGCAGGACAAAGCCGTCATCTTTCATGGAGTTGAGGATATGATCCTCACGAAGACGTGGTACTACGGTCAGGTGCAAACATTTCACAGGACAGTGTCTATTCGTTTTCATTCGGGAATTTCTCGCTTCTAAACGTGCTCTATCTAGAATGATTATGAAAAGAAACAAAGCAGTTTTAATCTGGCCTCAATATGTAAGTGACCCTTATTCTCACACTGCCTTGATATGCTCATAATCAACCTGGGGCCCTAAACTCGTCAAACACAAAGTTGGAGCCGAAAGTTTGCGGAGCGCGCCGATTAAACGTCGGCGAAAAAAGCGCAAAGTCATCGTCGTGAGAGGCCAATCGGTGCACTCCGTCAACTAGGACCCGAACTTTGTGTTTGGCGAGTTTAGATGCCCTGCTGTTACAGTATTAGTATTTCCGGAACGTTTTTCAAACTTTATCATGGTTTATTGCTTGAAAATATACTTCTAGAGTGCCTTTCAGCCGTATTTTAAGATATTGTCGACTAAAGAAAGTTGGCAGCGAGCTTTACCTTCAAAGTCCTATAATGCATCAAAGGCATTATAGGGAATCGGTGGGGGAATCGGCGTGTCACGTGGGGTATATTTTCCCGCTAAATTTAGCGGGGAAACTGAATGGTTATATAGGTCGCGTAACGTCAGGTCACGTGACGTCGATTTGCCCCGGAAAATGTAGCGGGAAAAGTGGATTGGTGACTAGGTTACAAGATGTGAATTTTCCCGCTAAATTTAGCGGGAAATATACGGACGGACGAATGCTCGGACAACATTTTGGGATTGGGTAGTCGTTAAAAAGCATTCCACGCTTTAATAGCCATTTGGGCCGGTTGCAACTCCCACATTCTCGTATCATTGAGAAAGCTCGTAATCGAGATCCTCCGGAGAAATACAAAATTGGAGTGTGTGTATGGTTATACAGCCTGAACTTAGTTCTGCCTCAACTGGAGACTCGTCTTTCAGCTGTACATGAGCAATTTAGCCAGTGGATCCCCTGGAGGAAATCAATCGCGCTCTTCGTGATTGGTTCCTCGACGTTGTTACCATCAAATGCCGCAGTCTGATTGGCTGCCGAAAGATAACAAGACGTTCTTCAACCGCGAGTGACCCGAACCAGTCTTACCCGGACTCTTCATTCCAGTTCGACAAGGTGACCCTGCCAGTCATCGAGTTCCTCATGAAAATCAAACAAATGACGCCTGCCCAGAGGTCGGATCCCATTGCCGTTGTGCGGGCCATGAGCGCTGCGGTAAGCATCGCCGCCTCAAGCTTGGCAAACACTGTCGGCACAGATAAGCAAGCAGTCTCGCTGCGCGAGATCTCGCAGCGCGCCCAACCTATAGAATGATGCCACATAGGGCCCCGGATCTAAAAAAAAAAAAAAAAAAAAGAGGAAACGATATATTTGATGTTTGAAGGACGAGACATTAAGTGAGGCAGTTGACGTGCGGCTGTGCGTGTCGCGATTCTGCCGGTGACTTGTTCCGGCAACTTAAGACCAAGGAACGAACGAGAGTGTCGCTGTCGCCGCGGCGTCCGGCCCAACTCGTGGGTTCCTCGGGCTCTCAAGAACTGGAGAGCGACCTACAGCAGGACGGCCGTCTGCCGTTGCCACCTCCGCTGCCGTTCCACCGCCAAGATGGCGGCAAGCAATAGCATGACACACGCGTGACGTCGTCCGGCGGAAATATAGAGACAGCGGTCGGAGACGCGTTCCAGGAACCGTGTCCCGGTGGCGGCTGGACGGGGACGTCATAAGAGCGCGGCCACACCGGGCATTAGAGAGACGCCACAAAACAAAAACCAAAAAAAAAAAACAAAAAAACTTCCAGCTTAGAATTCAATTTCGAATATATGTGAAACATGCACAAGGTGTCCAACAAAAACAAATTACATTTTACAGCGAGGCTGTATATGACTCATTGGTCGCGTTTTTTTCGTCTCCGTGGATAGAACAGTAGTCGACAGAAAACCCAGGTGAGCGCCTTACCACCGTTCGCGCGCGGCCTATCTCTTATTATGGGGTTTTGACACTTGTTTCCATTGGTTCCATAAGAAAACCACAAAATGAGTGTCACAACCACTTGATAGATGATATGCACGTAGCGCTCCCCGCATGCGTTTCTCGGTAAAGATTGCGGTTGCATAAGCTGCCGCGGCAACGGCAGGGTACGAAGTCTTTCATATATCAAAAAGTTTTGGTAGGGTCAATTGTTTTTGTCAATCACTTGGTATAGACCCTTTTACCGTTTACGAACACGAACTGCCGCTTGCGTCCCAAGCGACTTCCGGTCCCACCGTCTTTGCAAGCCTGTTGAGCTTGCTTGTGTCACGAGTGCTAGAAAGCATAAACGCTACACGGAAAAAAAAGTTCGAGATTTAACGAGGGTCTACGGCTGTACAATATTACATCTTGGAGGAGGCAAGTTGGTTAACAAGAATACTCAAAAGATTTTAGCACATCGCGCACTCCCTTTTTCTTTTGGCGTTCACTTGGAGAAACGGCGGTTAAACGTTTCATCTACATTTCAAGCAGCGAGGATAAGGTGACCTTTGTTAATTTTATTTTTTTATAAACCGGAAGTTCTCTCGGACGTCAAAGACTGCAGCACCACCTGGTGGCGTTTGACATAAAAGGGTTGATAGTGCAGTGGGCATTCGTTGCAGGTGATACTGCAGCTTCGCTGTCCTACCACCTTCACAGCATAGATTAGAGCCTTAACTTTTTTTTAATTATTATTGCAAGTCAAACTACGCATTTCCCAACGCTCATTTTCCATTCAAATGTAGCGCTAACGGTTCGAACCCGCTGCCAAAGTTTCAGAACGAACTGTTTCTCGTTCAAAAGTTATCCAGTGATTTTTCTTTTTTTTTTAATTTCAATGTGAAAATGGAGCCTCTTTTCGCCTGCTTCCGCTAACTTGCGCCATTCAACTGCAACTCCAACGTCATTTTCACATTGAAATTTTCAGAAAATCCCGGATAACTTTTGAATAAGATAACGGTTAGTTCTGAAACTTTGGCATCTGGTTCGGAGCGCTAGCGGTACATTTGGGCGGGGAATGAGCGTTCGGCCATTGCTTACTTTTTTTTTTCTTTTTAGCGAAAAACAAAAATAGCACAAAAAAAAAATCGGTATATTTTTGGGGAGGACACTGTGTAGTTTTCTCAGGCGTGCCGCCTAACACAAATTGCCTGAAATCAGACAAAACTGCAGCTCAAATCACAGAAGTCAGTGCAACTCTATAGTCATTGACAGAATGAGAAAAGCGCGTTTTTTTTTCTCCCGATATCCGGCCTTCAGCAGATGCTCGTAACCTTCCGCCGTGCATTGGCCCTCTCGCCTCTCTACACTTGTCAGTGACGATAAGCGTTGAGGCTGTAAAAGACTACCTTAAGGATACAGATTAATCGTGAAGATGAAGAAAAACGACATTTTGGGCACAGTGAGAACAAACATTCCGGCACGATCTTTAATATGTATCTACATAATTTTTAACGAATCGGCTGCGCGCGCGCCACGCCGAAAACGGAGAGTACAGCTTGCGATCGTTGTAGTTGAAGGAACGTCCCACAGCTATCGTTTGACTTTTCACATCGTAGCGGTAGAATTTACGATAAACGGAACTTTGAGTGCAGTTCATTTTTTTTTTACAGACAAACAAACGACACATCTAGAATTACTCGTTTTATATACAACCTGGTTTATGTAGCCTGTTCAGCCTAATAATACAACGAAATCACACGTAGTCATTTTAAAGTGACAGCTGCATGCTTCATCGCTCGTTCGTTGCACGAAAAATGACGGGAACCGGATAAAGAAAGCGTAGGCACTTACGACTATGTAAGCGTCTTGTTTCTTCGTCACAGGTGAACACCAACGATGAAAATGGACTGGTGATCGGCCTCTGGAAGGAGCCCTTCATCGACGGCATCCACCCCTTCGCCTGGTCTTCGTCTCCGACTCTCCTCCACAGATACATGGAGTCCGGCGGGAACGGTGTCAAGTATGGACAGTGTTTTGTCTTCGCCGGCCTGCTGACCGCCCGTGAGTGCAAAGGACGCCTGTCGTTTGAACCAGACTGGCTCTCTCTACAGACCGCTCGATCTTCCCGTGGCTCAATGGCCATGGAGCCGTCCAGTCACTATGACACGCATGGGAGTTCGGGAAACCTTGACTATTTTAGTATTTATGCAGTGCTGTCTCAGTACTATGGTGCGAAGTCAACGCTGCATTAGCGAGGTTGGCGATGTTTCCACCGCTAACTAATAGCGCCGAGGTAGCGCTGTGGTGATATGTGCGAACAGGCCTCAACACGAAGGGACGAGAAACCCGCACAGCAACGAGGTTGCTAAGAAGAAGTGTTTCGCGGTAATTTCAATGCAGATGCTTCGAGAGTTTCTGGCTCATAGTGCGCGGCCAACATGTCTCTTTCTTTACTTACGTATAAAAAAAAAAAAGGAAAGAAACTTTCAACTAATTACAAACAAAACAATATCATTTCTTACCACGTGCAAAAACCGCAAATTATAAAGGTAATAGTACGAATTCTCCTGTAAAGACTCAGAGCGGTATAGTAAGCGAAACGTGTGGGCCTATCTCGTAGCGGTCCCTTGGCTGCTTTCTCAATGCCCTCGAGATTTCTTTTTTTTTTTTTTTATATCTTCTGATAACCACCGATTTCTGCATGTTTAAACCTCATGGGGAATTTTCTTGGTGGTTTTGGAACGATCTAAGACAGCTCCATGCGAGCGCTTTTTATTCGGTACATGCGAGCGCCCGCTTGCACGCCAAACAAAAGAGCGCTCCGAAAGCGCTCGAAATCCCACATCGGGAATTCTTCATTCATCAGTCGAGTTCAACCTATTTTTTTGTGAGTTTCGTGAGCAAAACATTTCAGGTCGTTTTATAAAATACCGACGGTGCGTTATTTTGGTTTTTCTGCTTCCGGGCGCCCACCTCCAGTGCTTCGAGCTCTCGGGGTGCCGGCTCGCGCCATCACCAACTACTCGTCCGCACACAAGGATCCTAACCACGACAACGTCAAGTTTTTCTTCAACGACCAGGGACAAGTCTACCATATGATAGGCTCTGTCTGGTGAGCTGCGACGTATACCAAGTTCAATTTTAGCGAGCCAAGAGGAACGACGCTTCGCAAACATCGAGTGATCTGAACTCCGCGAGTGCTTTTTTTTCTTCAGGAACTATCACGTGTGGACAGAATGCTGGTTGAATCGGACGGATCTTCTTGGTAACTTCAGCGGGTGGCAGATTGTCGACGGGACACCCCAGGCTCAAAGTGTCGGTGAGTCCAAATAACCCAACTCCACCGAATATTTAGCGACCCAAACTGTACTATTCATACTGAAAATATTTTTTTTTTGTAAAAATATATCATAAACAAAAAAGAGGCCATAGTAGTACCGAGATCAACTAAGGCTAGAAGCAGGTATTCATTGGCAGAGTGGCGATGAAACCAACGAGGGCTCCGTAAGTATCTGCGCTGTACTTAAATAGTTTTCCGCGAACCATGAAAATCAGCTATTGAACTACGATTGTGTATCCGTGTTCGACTGGGTGTATTATGTGCGTGGTATATGAACGAATAGTCATGTTTTCTTTCGCGATAAAGTTACGTACAGCATTTCGTTTTTATTTTAATCTTTCCTTGCACACTTGGTGTTTAGTTGCCGGCTGGGTACCGTGAGGATAGCGCCATCATCAAATGGCACATAAAAAGAAAATATAGGTGCATCCGAATTTTACTCGAAAGGGGTTACATTTGAATCCCTCTCTGATAACCTTCTTTGTCTAAATATAGGCCGCGTTATTTGTTGACTTGTACCGGGAACCAGAAATTGCTTGAGTTGCTCGCGTACGTACAAGGCACATTTTGTAAAATTATTGGAGCAAATAACAAGAACAAAAAATAATTTCGTGTTTCACCATCGTGCTTCCAGAGTCGGGGTTTTACGAGGTGGGTCCTTTCCCGACCACCTGCGTGCTTTTGGACCGACTGGACGTCCCGTACGACGGCGTGTACACCCGTGCAGCCGTCAAAGCGTCGTGGGAGATGTACAGTCAGGATCCCAGCCAACCGGAAGGCGTGAGGCTCGTCAAAGTAGTGCACAACAAGTGAGCGGCACCGCCTCCTTCAACGCGAACTCGCACCCAACCCGACATATGCCCGTCAAAGGAGACTCCAGTCTCCGACTTCTGGCGCGCATGCCGGCATTATGACTCACATGTTGGTTCGGATATTTATAGTACCACACAATTAATACTGCAATACTTTTTCGGAGGCTATAGAAGCCTAGTTGTTTAGGTTGACGACACATGAAAATAAAGCACCAATTCATTCGATGGCGCAGATCGAACGTTGTATCAACTGAGTGATATAATACAGTGCAGTAAGTAGATATACTATAATGAACAAGTTGTGACCTAGTAACCGGAGTAAAAATGTAATAAGCCCAAGTAGAAAAAAAATCACGTCGGGGTGTGATGTAACATTTCTAAGATTAGCATGTTTAATAATCTGTCAAGTCCGTTTTTGCACATTTCGCCTTCTGCAAATATTCTACATAAAATAATGAGGAACGTAACAGAGTATGTGGGATAGCGGCACTTTAAACGCTTATTGGAATTATTCTGTTCTGAACAAATATTCGAGATATACTGGGATTCGCTATAAATAAGATTTTCCGCTGAGCATCGTGCAGGCTAAAGCGGCAACAGAACTAGATACCTACGTATTTTATTTTAGTTAACACCGAAAATAAGTTGATAAGTAAAGTATGAAACCTGATCCTATAGCGAGTAAAGGCTATCTGCAATGCCGTTTGGTTTGGCGCTATCCAACGTCTGAAGCCAGAAACAGTGGGTATGCCTGGAACTGGCGGCTGCATTGTTCAAACGAGAGCGATTCCTTTGGCGGAGTCGCTTAGCCTAGGGTCTGAAGCAAAAAATGCTGGGTGGGCCAGGAAGTCGTAGGCGTATAACATCCTAGTACGGCGGAAAGCCCCTGTGGGCCAACGGGAACAACGGAGTGAGGCACTTGACTACGTATCGCCGGAGTGCGCTTTGACTGCGAAGAAGGCTTTTGGCTGCGTCATGCTCCAATATGTGAGCGTATACGTAGCGCATATCGAAGCCGTCGGAACGCAATGAAGGACGTAGCGTTCACCCTTTGTCAAGTTACAACAAGAGAGTATAACCACGAACCGTTGCCGTGCCACCTGGCCGTGGCCGGCTGGCTGTAACGCAGTCATTTGTCCCGACCTACGAGGCCTTCAACACAAGCTCATTTACATAGCCGGGCAATTAGGTATACGGGCAAGAACAGCGGCGGTGTCAAAAATGACGCATTAATCGATAGCCCCCAGTCGATTAATTAATTCCACTCGCCCATCGTAACAAAGCAGAAACACCACCGCTCCCTGCGGTGTTCAATTTTGTTCGAGTATATCCGGTGCTTTCCTCATACTTCGCGGAAAATGTCCGCACAAACTTAAAACGCGCAGCACACAAGTTGTGCACAAAACGATAATATGGGAAGGTCGAAAGGATTTCTCCGCGCAGCGTCGTACAAGGCACGGGCACGAGCGCATGACTTTTGACAGTGCATCCTTAGAGCAAGTGCTTGTGGTAAAGCAGCACTTTGCGGACCAATCCTCTCACGCTTTTGCTTTTGTTAGCGTTGCACGCAGCTGCGATACAAAGCAGAAAATGAATTAAACACAATTAATGGACGAAGTTTGAAGCTGACGAGGGTGGAGAATTGGGCGAGTTGGTGATTCATTATGGTCAAAAAGCGCAACAAGACAACGGACAGAAAGAAAGACACAGTCAGAGCGCAAACCCACATATTAAAAACGAAAAAAAAAAAGAAAAGAAAAGCAAACGCGGAATAAACATTTATTTTCTGTTCCAGTTCCGGACGTCTGCTGGTAACCGAAGAAATTAACGACACGCCGGGCAGCGGGAACCCCGAAGACATCACCGCCAACTACAAGCAAACGCAAGGTATACTCCCTCGATCTTATCAACAAAGCTCACTTCACATGGACTAAAAAACAACAAAAAAAAAACATTCTCCGGCAATGCGAACGTGAAGTTTGAAGTCATTCATGGCGTACACCGAAGACAAACTAACAGGGCAGCTCTGATACCTTTTACGGATTTATTTATTTACTCATGAAATTTTCTCGCCCAATTTAGCGGGAAGCTGAATTGGTAAATAAGTCACGTGACATCAATTTTCCCGCCAAATTTAGCGGGAAACTGAATTGGTGTATAGATCATGTGACATTTATTTTCCCCGCCAAAATTAGCGGGGAAACTGAATTGATTTGTAAGTTCTATGACGTCGCGTGAAATTACACGAAATTTCCCGCTACATTTATTGGGGAAACTGAATTTTTTGTCTAGGTCACGTGAAATCAATTTCCGCATTAAATGTAGCGGGAAATGCACGGAAATGCAATTTTCCCGTCAAAATTGGCAGGAAAATTGAAAGTTCAAAGGCCTATAATGCATTTCATGCAATTATAAGACTTGGGAGGTAAAGGTAGCTGCCAATTTTTGTATTAATTTTTTTATGTACTTTTTAGTAACACTCCTTCGCCCGAACTGGGCTGGGGCACGACAGGCAGAACATCACATTGGTAAAAATTAGAAAGCGAAAAGCACTATGCGGTTACAAAAGATTACACAATAGTAACAAGCAACCGAAATTACAACTGAAACAAAATGCAATAATACAAAAACAGTGACACCGTCAATAAAGAAGTAAAAACGACGAATTCGTAACTAGTTATACAAGTCCCATGCTCCATTCAACGATAGTCATGAATAGGAAAAAAAAATATTTGAACGTGTCGAGTTGATCTTAGAACCGTCATCGTCATTATCCAAGAAATATACATTCCCTCGACATTCAGGCTAATGGTGCGCCCTCTGCTTAACTGGTGGGAATCTCTAGACATCAGCATATCCATTTGGACCACTGTGGATTACTCCGCAGCATACCCTGTATAAAAGAAACCGTGACTGGGCGCCCAGGACCAGTCGCTCTGCCTCCGCCTACTTTTTTTGCTCGAGTTTTAGATACAAGATCAGCTCATTAAATATTCATTCTCCATTGTTACATTAGTCTTTCCAATCGCCTTACTAGAAAAAAAAATAACGAGAAAAGGCGAACTGTCGTTATTAGGCGTTCCCTCATATCCGCAACCTGCACTCCAGCCCGGGCTGACGTTCAGGTTAGGTCCAGTTCCTACACAACGTCGAAAAGAAACGTTGTCACACACACACACAAAATACACTTTCCCATTCCAAAAAGAGTTGCATGCCGGAAGTGTTCAATGAAACTCCCACCGTTTTCTTACTTTCTCCTCAAGCGACTGGACGTCAACTGACGGAGCAGCCGATCGAGATAGCACTGAAGCACAACACCGCCGTGGAAGTCGGCGAGCCTGTGGTGATCGTCTGTACGGCTACGAACAACGACGTGCAACCCCACCAGGCCAACATCACTCTGACTGCAAGTTCGGTCATGTACAACAGCTGGAGTCCGGTCGTCGTGGGCAGCAAGACTACATCGGTGACCGTGGCGCCCGGCTCAGGTCAGAACGGGGATCTCGTCGACAGTTAAGTCAACTCAAAGAACCCACCCCCCCCCTTCAAAAAAAAAAGAAAGTGTTTAAGGTCGTGAAGTGTCTGGATAGGACGGTAAACAATAAATCCCCCTCCCCTAAAAAAAAAAAAAAAAAAAATTGCGTTATATTTACGCCACACTATACTTTTTTGAGATAGGAGCGATTCCGGGACATACTTATATCACGAGACGACTAACCCGAAATAGAAGCCTGTTTTATAATTGCTCATCGCCGGCTTTTTCGTTAAGTATCCAGATTAGAGCCCCTGGAAGGCGGGATTGTGTCGAAACGTCCTAGGTTCGCGACCATAGAGCCTTTATCAAACGTGGACAGATATGTACTCTGTTTCACTTGAAGTACGATCGCAGGCAACACTACCATCTGAAGAAGTCAATGAGGAGGCGCCAAAAGTGCTTCGTCATGGCGCTCGTCCTTTCGTGCGTTTACCTACCACCGGCTAAACCAATCTCTCTATCACTCTCTCACACTCTCTCTCACTCTCACGCCCACTCTCACTCTCACTCTGACTCCCCACTCCCACTCTCACTCTCACTCCCACTCCCTGCCCACTCTCACTCCCTCTCACTTCCTCTCACTCTCACTCCCACTCTACCCAGTCCAACTCACTGCAACTCACTCACTACAACTCATTCATTCCAACTCACTCACTCTAAGTTCCTCCAACTCACTCACTCCAACTCGCTGTTATCTTAATCAAGAAATTCCAAGGCCGTTATCATGGAGAAAATAAAATGTCATTGGAACAAATGTCACTTCGGCAATCGGAGAACTACAGCGCGGGCGAAATGGATTGAACGCATTTTAAACTGACCGTATAAATCAGTTTCTTAACTTATCACACTTGGATATACTACAGATGTGCTCGAAGCTGGTGCATTCATTATTTGAGAGTATGTATACATGAAACCTTCGGATTTAAAAGAAAGAAAATAAAAACTGGTTTAGTCATTGGAAAAATTACCGCTAAGGCCTTTATCTCAAAATCATAAAAAAGATGGTTGTGGTCTATTCTGGCGTTTACTGCGATTTAAAAAGTTGTGAAATGGGAAGAAAATAGAATTGGCTTACCTATTCTTCACTTCATTTGGTCCAAATAAGCGCCGCAGTAACACATAATAGTTTCTTAGTGTACACGGGAAAGCACAGTTTATTTCTTGATTTACTCAGGTGAGCCAATCTTTCCACAATTTCCAACGAAATCTTCCACCAACTTCAGGCACCTCTGTAGTAAATCCCAGCGCGATAAGTTAAGAAACCGATTTATGCGATCAGTTTAAAGTGCGTTCAATCCATTTCGCCCTCGCTGTAGAATATGCCGCTTGCAGCCTTATGTGACCGAATGGAGGATCACGGGAAAATCCAGGATTGTTTGATAGGCTCATGACGTCACAGCACATGAACTCGCGCAGGTATTTCAAACAACGGACGACGCTCACGTGAAACGTGACGTCATGCGGGGAAGGGAAGTGATTAAAACGTGGCATGGGTAATGCGAAGGGAAGGTGGTCCCGTGTCTCAAATTATTTAACTCTATAAAGTAATTCATTTGACTTAAAAAAAGAAAAAATTAAGAATTTTAGGCGGAAGCGGAATTCAAACCCACGACGGCGAGTCATAGAAGCTACTGATTGGGCCACGCATATATGCTTGCACGGCTTGGGAACTAGCGGGGATTTATATGTTTCGGTATCGCGCTCCACTCTTAAAGGCGAAGCTTAAGTGTCCTCCTGTAATTTTTTGTCTAGTTTCTGCGTTTCCTCGCAGTCTCGGGTCTTCGGAACGTTCAACTTGCAGATAAGCATACACACGTGTATCCTTCAAAGTACAAATCGAATTTAGCGTGCAACGAAGTCCGCAGGGAGACCAAGCCTCTTAATAGCGCCGATCCCTCTCTGATGCATCTTTCCGCAGCGGAATCCTTCGAGTTGGTCATCCCGCCCGAGATGTACATCGGCAAGTTGCACGTGGAAGGTATGATAGAGGTCCAGGCTGGCGCCAGTCTACCGCAAGACATCGTCGTGGCAAGGGGTGTCCTCTTCATCAAGATGCCCGCTCTCAGTGTCAACGTGAGTAGTCTGAAGCGCAGTTTTTATCCGCCCAACTCGGGATAACCGCCAAAGGAACAACGGTGACATTTTAATAAACGTATAATGTGTGACGTACGATTGCTGTTGCTCGTTACAGAAAAGCTATGACCGCCGTCAGTATACACGATGGTCATTAGCGAACACTCAATTTTGCCCTTCATATGCCGATCGAAGAGAATACGTGTACAGTACAGAGTTCACTTCCATCGGTTTTATTATTGCCGACAGTCAAGTCATATAATTCAAAAGATCGTCGAATTATGAAAGAGTTCGTCGCTTTACATCTGCTTCCTTAGAGTTCTTTTGAAGCGATTCTGAGATCTCATAAGTTGCCCAGCGACACTGATGTGATCGGCGATTACTGCGCCCTGTCGATAACTGTGACGATACCGTCACATATATGTTACTAGAGTCACTATTATAGATATATGACAGATATTTGTGCCTGTAGTCTCCTTGACATATATGTCTGTTACAATACTCACTACTATAGTCACATACATCTTCAAAAACATTTGTCAAAACGATTTTTTTTTGTCGGATGCAATTGGCTGGCGTTAAGAAATCACACGCGATTCATTTTTCACTACTGAATAGTGTAATTTTTAATTGAAAACCGACAAAAAAAAAGAATCGAAATTAATGTACAAGCACGGTGTGTGAAGTAACATGTCCCCGAGAGAGATCGGGGTTTTCGGCTGTGTTTCAATCCTCCTGCTCCCCGAAACCACACGCGACTGCCCGTGAGCCTTTATTATTATCTTTAAGGCTGCGGTCCCACGGCAGCCATCTTGAACAAGGCGTTAGTTCAACTAATAGATGGCGACACGCACCCGTGGGGTGGCCGAAAACTTGGTTCACAGTGGGATGGCTCGAGCACCATCACGTTCCCCTCGTGGCCTTGCTCGCGCCGCTGCCAGTTGTGCTCAGCTAGCTCAAGTAGCGTGGCCCAGCAAACGGATGTATGCGAGAATGTCAGGCTGGGTATAAATTGTTCTCTGATATAGGGAGATGCGGTTCGGCGGGTGTAACGGGCTTTCGCCATTGACGTCATTGACGTTCTACGGTCTCTTTTACCTACTTTTGCCCTACCGAAAATACTTTTCTCTGATAACGTCCCAAACCTTGCTTCAAATAAAATAAACAAGTTTTTGAAGAAAAAAAGAAAACGGCACCAGGCATTACATTAGTGCACCATACCATCCTGCAACTAACGGGCAAGCAGAACAGATGGTGTGCGAAACGAAAAAAAGCCCTTTTGAAGCTTATTGAAGAAGCAGTTCAGTGAAGAATCACCAGGTTCTTGTTCCAGCAGCACGCGACGGTCTCATATTACACAGTAAAAACACCCACCGAAGCAATATTCGGCGGACGAAGAGCCACACCCCTCGATCTGATGATCCTACGAACGAAGATCGAGAGATTCCCAGATAGGGAGTAATGGCAGTTTATTCGAACAACTCGTCTACGTGAGAAATTTCAGCGGAAGTCGGGCCTTCCATGTAAAACTTGAGTAGAAAAGGCTCTATGTTGATTGACCAGAAGGTGTCATCCCTCTGAATATTTTGGATATCAATGCCCTTGAGTGTCAATATAACTAAATCACAAAACTCTCATTGTGTATTGTGTAACTGCCTTTGTATTTGATAGTAGAAGCTATGGTGGTGATTTGGACCTTTCACACCAGGCTCCTTTTTCTTATTTTTCGCCTCATACTCCTTTGCGGTTTAAGTATGCTTCAAGAATCTTTTGGAACGGGGACACTTTACGTCAACGAGGCCATTTGTTCCAAGTACTCAATCAGGTAATGCTGCTAGAAATCCGTCCCTCATATTAACCAATAAGCCGCACTTCTGCACAGTGCAGTTTTCCTGTTCCACGCACAGTTGTAAAGCAGCATCCTCATTGATTCTACCATATTCTGTTACGGGTGAAGAAAGTCTTTGGGTACACGATACTTGAAACAAGTCTGGCACTGAACGTTGTGGTTCGACACCCACTAATGTCGTCGTCCTTATAGAGCCTCATCATTTAATCATTACCTCGTCACCTCATATTGCTCTTCATCAACAGTAAGTACAATAGGCTACCGCCATATTACAATCCAAGAATTGAAAAATTGAGTCGTTCAGTCCTTCAACAAACTTATTATTTATATAATGTTATTACGTTACATTACCTCAAGACGATCGATGTCCATCGTCGATCTTCAAATACTTATACCTGTATATAAATTAGACGCACAAGGGGGGGGGGGGGGGGGGGGGGGGTGTCGGTGGCCGAGTGCATAATCTAGCGCACACCAGCTCGGAGCACTTCAGAACCCTCCCCGCCCCTGCCCGTTTCGATCTGGAAGAGCATCGTACCGGCATGCGGTCGTGTATCCCTACTGCGTAGTGCACGTTAAAGACCCCAGGTTTGCGGTTGTACGGCACTGGCTAAATTGCTCATCTACAGCTGAGACACCAGACGCCCAATGAGGCGGACTAACTTCCGGCTGTATAAACATACACACAACAATTTGCAATTAGACGCATAAACACAAAGAACACAGCGTGCCGCCTTTTTTCTTTGGATGCCTTCTTAAACCAGCGAAAGCTCGCGCGTTCTCTCTTTTGAGACGGTTAAAACGGTCGCACAAAAAATCCGCGTTTCTCCTACCCAGCCGCTTCCTCCTCTCATTATGTGTAGTTGGTTATAACTAAATAAGCTATGATAATGGTGTATTGTTCGTATTTATTTTCAGTTTCAGTCAGGGAAAAGGAGTTTCGCGGGAACTAGAGCCAATAAATGAGCTGCGTTTAGAGTATCGGCACTCTCTTCCCCGACAGTGTTGTGAACGCCGCCATTTTGGGTCTTGTGCAGAGCAAACGCAACTGCCGATCGTCATGATTCAAAAGTGCGACTTCCTCAGCATTAGATTCGGTGTCAGGAAGCTGATGCAATATTGCTTTGCTCTGTCGCGGACTGTTTAAACATTTGTGGAGGACGGAAAAGCGTTTTCTGTGATTTTAGATAAAGCTTCAGATAACTGGCAAACATGATTTTAAGTCACTATATGCCCAAGTATCGTCACTCTCAAGCGTAGCTTATTTAATGACACTATTCATGCCCTTGTTCAAGGAGCGTGTAATACATGAAGGCGCCATCACGTAAGCCCCGTGGGTTCCACAAACTACTACCTTTTGACGCCTGCTTCTTCCTCATTGTTCCCACTAGTGCCACTAAATAAGCTACGCTTCAGAGTAACGACACTTGGCCATATTGTGGCTTAAAATCATGGTTGCCAGTTATCTGAAGCTTTATCTGAAATCACAGGAAATGCTTTTCCGCCCTCCGCAAATGTTTAAACCGTTCGCGACAGAGCAAAGCAGTATTACACGACCTTCCTAACACCGAATCTAATGCTGAGGAAGTCGCACTTTTGAATCATGACGATCGGCCGTTGCGTCTGTTCTGCATACGATACAAAATGGCGGCGCCCACAACAATGTCCGGGAACGGAGTGCCGATACTCTAAGCGCAGCTTATTTAGTGGCTCTAGTTCCCACTAGTGCCTCTAAATTAGCTACGCTTCAGAGTAGCGACACTTGGCCATATTGTGGCTTAAAATAACGGTTGCCAGTTATCTGAAGCTTTATCTAAAATCACAGAAAACGCTTTTCCGTCCTCCACAAATGTTTAAACAGTCCGCGACAGAGCAAAGCAATATTGCATCAGCTTCCTGACACCGGATCTAATGCTGAGGAAGTCGCACTTTTGAATCATGACGATCGGCAGTTGCGTTTGCTCTGCACAAGACCCAAACTGGCGGCGCCCAAAACAATGTTGGGGAACGGAGTTCTGATACTCTAGGCGCAGCTTAGTGCCACTAAATAAGCTACGCTTCAGAGTAACGACACTTGGCCATATTGTGGCTTAAAATCATGGTTGCCAGTTATCTGAAGCTTTATCTGAAATCACAGGAAATGCTTTTCCGCCCTCCGCAAATGTTTAAACCGTTCGCGACAGAGCAAAGCAGTATTACATGACCTTCCTAACACCGAATCTAATGCTGAGGAAGTCGCACTTTTGAATCATGACGATCGGCCGTTGCGTCTGTTCTGCATACGATACAAAATGGCGGCGCCCACAACAATGTCCGGGAACGGAGTGCCGATACTCTAAGCGCAGCTTATTTAGTGGCTCTAGCACAGCTCATTTAGTGACTCTAGGCATGAAGTGAACTCGGGTTTTATTATTTTCCTCTTCGTCTTTATTGTTTAATGATTTCAATCATATCGAATAATGAACACATTATATCACGCTACGCTTGTGTAATGATTTGTTTTACATTTATGAACCTGACCCAGTACTTAAACCATTCATTTATCGATAGTAAATCTTGCAATATATTTTTTAAATGTGAAGGTAAAAAGACACGGAGATTGATGATGATACAGACGCCAACGCCGCCCTCGGAAATTTTTTGAACATTAGAAATCAGCAGTTTGTCTGCCATCCGCCAGGTAGCGCAACAAAACACCCAAACAGGTTTTAATTGTTTTTAAAATTAGCCAAGCTCTACACATATTAAAAAACCAAAGCAAGATCATTGTGAAAATTTAGTACATCGGAATGTGTATCTATTCCAAACAATAAATATTATTAGATGCCAATAAATCTGTTTAATGTCCAAAAAAGATATGCGTCAAAAACAGGTAAGTTTGAAGGGCTCCTGGAGCGTTATGACTTTGAAAATGAAAAAAAGCCATCGTCCACCTCTTGGGCAACCATTGTAGCTCTAAATGTTATGAAAGATTTTATCATAGTTTAATTATTTCCTAAGTGGCATTTGAAGTACCATGACTCGAAGCACAAAAAAGTGCTACGTTTGATATAAAATATCTAAACAAAAAAATTTTACACAATATTAAATTTTTTTCTGCATATTACCAATTATAAGCGCTACATCTGTAGCTAATTTCATTGTCCTAGCGCATGTCATTAAAAACATATTTGTGCTGAAATATGTCAATTTTAGGGCCATATTTGGAGGGATGAAAAAAACAAAGTACTGCAAACACCAAAAAAGTGTATCGTTACATTCTGCTCCGACATCATCTTAACAAAACTGCTATATTGGAACCGTGTTATCTTTAATGGATCGTTCGTAAAACATGAACTAGCGGAGCAAGTGAGGGTCCGGGCCATCATATTCGCAACGCTACAAATGCGCATGTGCAGTATAAACCAATACACACATAATATCAAATGAAAGAGGATTGCATTGCCTTTCGAATGACATCAATCCCACAAAGCAGGATTTAAAAGGAGATGAGTAATGACCTGCCAAAAAGTGCCTAAATTGCCAGATTCAGTGGGACCGTGGCCTTAATAAATTATTCTTTACCTTTCCGCGAGCTATTGTAGAAGAGAACGTTTCGACTATCATTTGTCGCGTGATTGTTTCAGACCCCATATTCGTTAGGTTCGCCTCTGAAAGCTTTGCGTTGCTGTTAAAGTTGAATGTGTGTACCGAAGTGGCCACACCGCATCGTCCCTGAGGATTACTTTGCGGCACGAGTTCTCGACTAAGTCACATCGTGCAAAACGTACTACAGTGTAATCCACTTATAACGATACCAGATATAACGATATATCGCTTATAGCGATCAAATTTTTTAGATTTGATCGCTATTTTTTTAGATTTGATTTCATCCAGATATAACGATAATCGGCTATAACGATTGGATTTTGCGGTTTTCTCAATATCGTTATAAGTGGACTGCACTGTAGTACCACACGTTCCAACTAAAAGCACCCCCTGAAACCGGCGAAGTGTTGTTGACGGAAAGCGGAACTTTCGGGGTTTGTGTGTCAGCACTTTCTCAATGACCACAGATCCTGGCAAACAGCCAAGCTCCAGGAGAAGTCCACTTCCAGCTTCAAATGCCAAACCCCTTGAGGACGCCCCTGACGCAGTGCGAGCTCATTCTGGAACTCCCGGGGTCAACACGTCTCTTGGAGAAGATTCCCATCGAGTGAGCATACCTCATGCTCAAATTAAAACCCTGTTTAAAGATCCGCGGCGGGTAAAATGTAGTAATTTTCACTACGCACTGGACACGTAGCCCCAGCTTCACACATGACACGATGGAGCGTAAACAGGTGCTAAGATGAATTTTGAAATCGTCTTGTTTTACGGCAGGGTCTCATTCTACGGGTCCTAAGCCTAAAACAAAACGAAAAGACGAAATGAATAAAATGCGTGGCCCTTTTTTTTTTTTTTTTAAATAAAAAGAAACCCAACATCGCGCTACGCCCATTTTCTGAGATATGTCTCAGGAAAGGGTGTGTCGCAATGTTTCATCGCCCTCAAAAAAAAGAAATGGGGGGCCACGCATGATTTTATATTTGGCTTTCGGTGGGTCTTATGACGCGTAGAATGAATTTGCATCACAAAAGAAGAACGATTCCAAAATCCACTTTATCGCCCCGTGCACCGAAATGTCCGTACACCGAACCGTTAACACCGAAACACCCTACACTGAAAGGTCCCACAGCCGTGCTCCAATGCACAACAATTTTACCTTCGAGAGAAGCAATGGACCGATCTCACTAAGCGTTCTAGGAGTACGTGAGGCCTCCACAACTTTAGTTCATAGGAGGCAGGTGGCAGTGCACGTGATGGCTTGTGCCAGAGCCGCATATGGAGACAGTTTGTCCATTCTTTTGGAAGTACAGGAGACAAATGAGGAGGCGCCATTGGCCGAAAGTGCGCTGGGCGTGTTCCAGGGCGTCTTCACAAATTCGAATGTGGCCAACCAGAAGCCAGAAAGAATACCCTGGCGGTAGTCGCGAGAAACAAAATTAATAAGCGCGCCGGAGTAACTCTCGATGACTGAAAATATGGTGCACATGATGTTTCAATCACGATCATCCACAATCATGGTGGAAGAGCGCGACTAGCGGAACGATCGACATAATCCGCACGCCAGGCGCCGAGGGCCGGGAATCTGCCGTCCGAGCGGTCACGCTCTGTCCGGGCAAAACAGAGTTCGAGTGGCACATTCGTTTATGACATATTTCTGCATGATCGTAATCGAAACATCACGTGCACACTATCTCCAACCATGAAGGGTTACTAGATTTACCTCTTACGCGCTTATTAAAACCATATAGCTATGATTAAAACTGCTTCTCACTACCACCGCTAGGGGATTCTTTTTCGGAATCTGGTTGGTCAAGGGAGCATGCCAAACCCACTCTCTGCGTCTGGTGCACGCTCTGACTCTGCCCACGCCTGCCATTGATCAAACTCTCTCTATACACGGCTGCCGCTTGTGCCGTCTCGAGCTTTGCACGCGCAGGGCTTCAGCGAGGTTGCCGAACGTGCAGAAAGACTAAAGTTCCCTCGACAACTTGCGGCAGTAATGGCGTAGGAAAAAAAAAAAAAAAAGAGCTAGCTGGTGAGGTTGGTTTATTTGTCACCAGATAACTTTTTTAGTTGTAGGCCCAGAAAAAAAAAAAAGGTATTTTCCGACAACTTTATAAACACAATCGCCCTTTTGTTCACAAGCACAAAAATAAACAAAAAAAAAACATATTTTTTATGGCATTTAAACCGATTTCTTGTAGTGAAGCCAGACTTAAACAAATATCGCAAACGAGAAGCCATGTGTAAAAGTTGCATATTTCCAAATTTAAATGAACCATGAAATGATATTCGGTCCAAATTTTAAATGACCGCTTGTTTTGGGCCGAGAGTTGGAATGGTTAAAATGCTTCGAGATTCAACTTCGAGATTTCATGCAGCATCTAGCGCGGAAGAGAAAGAACTAAATCCCGTCTCTTTATATCATAAATATCGGGCTTTTGTCCTAAACCGTGTGTAGTGAAAGTAAGAAAACTCATTTCATGGCTCTTTTAACAAAAGCGCACAACCAAAAATAGGAAATATCCATCCCGCCCTTCTTGGGACTATTAGAGGAAAAACGACGTCTTAATGTGCACCAGTTCGATACGAACATAGAAAGCCTTCTAGAAACTTTTTATTTTTTATCTTCCCGGCTTGCTTTGCAGCTTCCGGCTTAAGTTGTCAGATTTCCACCAGCTCGCATGCATGTATTCATCACTTCTCTAATTTTTCGAACAGGTCATTTGTCTTGATTAATCTCGTCCTAACGTTAATACTTCGTGACAACCTCCATACAAATATCGAAGAAGAAAAAATACCTCAGAGGGCGGCTGACGCATTTTAAACATTTACTGCGAATAAAACAGCTAGTAGAAGCCTACAGGAAAAGTCTGCTCCCATTGAAACGAATATGCTGGGCATAAGTGACGTATTTTGCCCGGCCGCCTTTGGTCTGCGCCTTACGCCATAAGAGCGACTGTTGCGCAGCGCGCAAAGCGAGCCTGCCGCCAGATGAAGTTCGTCGGTTGTTCGCCGTAAAAGGCCTTTGACCAAAAATTCACACTTCGCGTTTGTTCCAAGTACCGACAACCATTGTTACGCGAACGCGCGAAACACGCTCCTCGTGCGAGTGCTTCGCCTCCATTCGCTTCCGAAAGGCCAATCATCTCAGTGCTGCGCCGCCATTTGCCTCCCAGGGTCTGCTGAAAGCACGAAACCCCGTACTTTGGCGCATTTGGCGCTACTTGCCACACAGACACCAAGACACCAAGGGGCTTTAACTCGCCGCACATTCGCTCTTTGGAGTCCAGCTTTTTGGAGAGACCCTCTCAAACAGTATATAGCGTTTGAGTGCGTATGACTGCGTTTGATTGCGTTGAGAGTGCTTTGTATATGGCGTGATAAGCTACTCCTTGAATTTATAACCACGTTTCATGCGAGGCACGGATTCCCCGGTAATTCAGTGCCGTGTTTCGACACAACGAAGTCAAACGCACTCAATCACAACTATGTGAAGGGCTCCTAACGGAAATAGTTGCGAAGGCCGAGGTCACGCGGTGCTGTTTGTGCACTATCGACCTGCGAAGCTTTACATATACGGAAACAACTTTCCCTATAGTGCTGCTTTTTAACACCAGCTACCGTTCGATTTAGAACGCCAATTTATTCCTTGACCGCTGTCCCCCTCGCACAGAGATGTTCCGGTCGGCGGAGTCTTCGAGAGAAGCGGCACGCTCATCGCCGACAGCCCGGACACCAAGGAGCTGATTGCCACTTTCATGTCGGCCGAACTGCCCCACGTGCAAGGCATCGGAGCCATCTGATGCATCGCTGCGGACTGCAAAGAAACTCCCTGCGTTATGACGCTGAGGCCTTTGCAGGGAGTGTCAAGGAACTGCTTTTCAAGCAAACTTCATTATGCGCACCAGAATTGTTTGTTGGCGTTGGTCTAGGTTCGAGAACTATGCACCATATAAAGAAACTCGAATAAAGCATGCCTTCCACTGGCCTTGACTCGCCATATTTTATTCCGGGGTGTCATCGTGTGTGCACGCCTTTCTCAGCAATGCCACGAGGACAGTTTGTCAAACGATGTTCCTTTTTTTTTCTTCTTCCCCTTTCCTTTACGCGTAAGAGCCCCTCTGGGTGCCAGCTCGCGTTTCGCCGCTATTTCGCTGTCATTCTGTCCCCGCGCAATGATTGTGTATGTGTGTGTGTGTGTTCTCATGCTGTCGAAACGACAAGTAGGATACAGAGTGGGGTGGCATAAGTGTCGGAGACGTGAACGTCAAAACGGCCGCGTCGGAATTGAATTATGTGAGATCATGTTTTCCGAGTTTTCGGGCATTGGATTTGTGCACTGGTCATCTCAGACCTTTAGACGCGCCCGAGTATACTCCTAGGGGCCCGTTCACTTAGAACCGTTTGCTTAGCTTATGCCTGCTTACGTCGAGAGTCACCTGGCTGACCGTGTTTCGTAAGAAGAGTGGCAACCTATTCAAGGAGTAGCCTTGCAACTGGCATACGTGGCACGGATGTCCTGGCGATTCGTAACGTGACGAAAGAAAAAAAAAAAAAAAAAAAAACGTAAGCAAGCGTTTTTGTGTGAATGGGCCTTAACTCGAATTTAATTTGACTTTTGCCTCGTTACCTCTACAGCCGAATATTAAATTATGAAAAATCAAATTATTACGCGTTCGAACGTAACGTTTGCGTGTAAGAGCTGCGACACGTCACGGCGAAGTCGGTGGCTCAATTGACTTTGTTTTCAGGGGCACGAACCTCAAAGATGTCTCTGCGACGAACGGCGAGACGCGTAGCGTCGCCGCCAACGCGTATTTCTGCGTCTCACAACAGGTGCGACGCTATCACGCGGCGACGCCGAGACACTTGCGCCTGCCGCTTTGCGCCGTACTCTCACCGAGCTTCAGCGCGTTTGCCGCTTGGGGCTGCGCAAGGATCCACTAACGATGACGTAATGCGCAGTAACTTCTTCTATGTAGTATCGGATGGATGGATACGGCTGAACCCTTTTGATGGGGGGGCGGCTTGCGCCACTTAGTCGAAGCTCTTAATTTCAACAATTAACTCCGATTAAGTTTGGAACTAGGAATGACGGGCCACTGTGGAGCAGGCACTACTCGAGACTCATACTCACGCTTGTTCATAAAAAAAAAGTATAATAAAGCGGATTGCCAATTCTGTGCGGTATGTCCCGCTTAGGGAATGGCCGTGTTTTCTCCGAGCTAAACGGGACAAAACTCCAGGGGGACACGATGCTGAAGGGAGCGGCAGCCTCCGCTGCGGCCGCTGGCCAGACATCCGTGAACTCGGACTACCGGATGATCCTGCCCGCTCTGCCGAGTGGGAAGAGGTTGGCCACGACGGTATTCCTTCACCGGGACCTGCGAGATAGGCCATACCGGACGCAGGATTTCGGGGACGCGTTGGGAAAAGCCGTCGACATGGCGCACGTGGATGGGCTGGGCGCTTTCCAGTTCAACCAGGTGTAGGTGTTCACGAACGATTCGGCAGAAATAATAAAAAAAAGGCTGGTAGCTGAGACGGAGCTGGTCGTCGAGGGAAAGAAGTGCCTGGTGATCGATCCGAACGTCACGGAGGTTGTGATCCGAATTCACTGGCTCCCAACTTACGTGACTGACAGCGAGATCTGCACAGCCCTCGCGGACTACGGGAAGATTGCGAAAATCATCAGGGAAAGGTGGAGCTCCCCGTGCGGGAATTACGAGGTGGAGACTTCAACACCAGCGGTGATCATCGTCCTCAAAGAGGGAAGCAACAAGAACTCGCTGCCGCACCAAGGCAGTGTTACCGGAAACAGGGCGGTCCAATCCAAACTGCACAACCCGCTTTTTTGTAACTTCCGCTGGCCGGAACGGGTGGAATGTGTGCGGATGTGTGTGGACGAGACAGCCAGCGCACAGGCGACGGGCGGAAGGGGGAGGGAGGGAGTTGGGGGGGGGGGGGGGGGGTTGAGCGGGAGAGAGAAAAACGCACATCAGTCTCCACGAGCGGGAGAGCAAGACTCGACGGGACGTAGCGAGGAGGAGAGGGAATGAGAATCGTGACGTGACTTGTCTCGTCGGCCGTGTTCAATCGCGCACTTCTTTTCCAGGAATACGGCGACCCGTTAGAGATATCGCTGTATAAATGATGTTTTTAGGTTTTGCAGCGTCCTGCCTATCCGCCCAGCCCTGTTTTGTGAGCTCGTAATTTCGGTTCAGTCTCCCTTTAAAGGGGCGGTCAACAATGTTTGTACTTGGCGAAAATACCACTGTGTACGAATCCCTAACGTTAATGACCTATGAAACATTCGTTCGTTTTGCACCACACGCAATGAAAGTCTCAGAAAAAAATAAATAAAAGAAGACCAGTAGCGTTCACCCCCTCAACTTGCAGCCAGAACAAGGGGCCACGTGATCTGGAGCCGATTATATGTCGCCAATGTAGATCATAGCCACGCGCTGGGTTTGGCAAAGCCCAGGACACGCGCCGAGTTCCAGACATTGTTATGGTTTGGCTATTTTCGTGATTGGCGTGACTGGACACGGGCCACTGCCCGAACGCTTGTCAAGCTATTGAGTATCTCGAGCCCGAATCGAGTGCTCACGCAATGCTCGGGTCCAATCTATGAACAGCATTCAAATATTACCACTGTGTGGTACTGCCACCGCCAAGCTACGTCATCAAGTTTTGCAAAGGAGAGATGTACGAAAACGGTCACTTTTGTCCTTGAAATTATACCACAAGAAAGGAGTTTCTTGGTCAGTGGCGTTGCGTGCGAGCACTTGGGTCTCGCTAGTGCCAGTAAACTCGTGTACAGTGAAAAACATACCAAGCGAATATCGTTGCACGGCCCCTTTAAGGGTGAACGGAATATACACTCGTAGCATGCTCCCTGATGCCTGGGTAATTTAGCAGAAGGTCTATGCGCCGAGAATGTGAGGGAGTGGAGGAGACGCCAAGCTCTGGTAGAAATGATTAGTGGGGAGACCTAAAGCTAGCTGCCTTTGTCTCCACTGCACTCGTTCAACGCGCTGCAGGATTACCAGGTTGGGCTATTAATACCCAAATTGGGCTACTTTGTACTGGATTTGGCGTCGAAATTTGGCGGTTGGCTATGTGGCTATTTTTGGGCTATTTCACATCCTAACGTGGCATTTTTTTTTTGCTTGGTTCAGTATAGATATAAGAAAGACACTTCGGCATAGACACAAAGCGATCGTCCACCCTTTCCGGATTCCCGCTTTCAGAGATTTTTGTTTGTAAAGATGCGTGAGCGTGATGCTAGATCCTATTAGCTCCAGTGAGGTACCGTTTCCTTGATTCAGCTCCGAAGAGAATCCTTTGGTATTCATTGTGGCTTATCTTATACTCCCAAGTCCTTTCTTCTTCCTACTGGCGTCTCTTATTTCCTCAAATTTCCCACAAACCTCCCACAGAAGGCACCCCTTCCGAAGAAAAAGGACACTAAAGGCAACACAAGACATCGACCAGAGTTTGATGTCACCCGATGATGCGTGCTGTACCGGATATAACAAAGGAGGCTTTTCCGCGAAACATGAAAGTTTCTTAAAGCACAATGAGTCATAATAAATGACAACAGATTTAGAACAATAAATAAACCGAACAAGGCCATGCTCTAAGCACAGGGGCAGCCATGTTTCGGTTGCTATCTGAGCTTGCCATTGTGCCCGTGACACTGCCCATGTTGAATGCCGCAATGGAGTGTGTATTTAGTAACGTGTCCGTCACAAAGTCAGACCTAACGACCAGGATGTCCCTTCCAACTTTTCAAAACATCCTCTATGTAAAGTTTGCTTTTGTCGTGTACCGAGTCGGGTCGAGTCAAGAGGACCAAAGACAGGAGCCGCAAGAGAACACCAACTACGCCGGTGGCCTTTATCGAACAACCCAAAAACCTCGAGCCCACACGCGCGCATCGCAGCCTTCCACGCGCATCCGTCCCGCGCTACCCGAGTCACGCCCATCTGTCAGCCAACACAGCCAGCCAGCACTTGTGCCATATAACGCAAGATGCGTTCCCACTTATATGACACCTCCCCCTTTTAAGCATTAATGTCCATAACGAGTTGGAGGACGCGAAATTCGGCCACTCCGGGTTACGGTTGCTGAAAGGTCGTTGTCCTGTTGACCGGCTGCTTCCATCTCGGAGCTCGCGGGCTGAAGATGGTGCCGGGTGCGTCGTACTGTCCCTTGGTCCGTTTCCACGAGGTAAGACCTAGGCTGTCCTGCTTGGCCTTGTATCATTCCCTGCGAAGCCGCACCCGCGTGGATCCAGACCGCTGAGTGGGGGGGTAGCACCTGGCAGTCTCTCGTCCTATGGCGTCTGTTATAGTCAGACGCCTCTCTCGTCTTACGAAACCGGTACCGTTGTCGATATTTCTTCGAGTGGCGCCAGTGAGGTCTCAGTGTAGTTGGCGCACTCGGAACTGTTGAACGGAGCTTCCGTCCCATCAGAAGCTCTGCAGGGGAGAAACCTTCAGGCCCTGGGGTAGTCCGGTGTGCCAGAAGAGCTTGCGCCACATCCGATGATTTCGTCAGCAGGTTCTTTGCAGTTTGTACCGCTCTTTCGGCCTCCCCGTTGCTCTGGGGGTAATATGGACTAGAAGTCACCAGTTGGGCTCCCCAATGGTTCACGAATCGCCGGAACTCGCTCGATCCAAACTGGGGACCGTTGTCTGAGCGTATAACTTCCGGACATCCATGTCTTGCGAAAACTTGACTGAAGACTTTGGTCAAGTCTTCCGTTGTCGTTCGTGGAAGTTCCTCAAGCTCGAAGAACTTCGAGTAGTAGTCGACGATGACTACATACTTCTTCCCTC